ATATTAATACCTTATTTAAATAAATAATACCAATAAAAAGAAATTAATAATCAATCTTATAGCCTTAAAATAATTATACAAAAATAAAGAAATTAATAATATTTAATAAATATATAACAATTATAATCCAACAAATATAATAATAAAAACGTTTCTAAATAAAACTATAAAAACATTAATAAAAAACAACCAAATTAATTTACGTTTAAAAAAATAAATAAAACATAAAAAAATTAAAAACAATATTAAACCAACGCAATAATAAATTATTAAAGCCAATTACCAATACTAACCTAGACATAAATTATTACAAGAAATAAAAAAAGATATACTAAGAATAAAATAACATAATATATACTAACGCAACCCCACTTATAAAATAACTCCTAATTTAAACCATTACAATTTTATCCTTTAACCGTTATAAATATGTACAATCACAAATACATAAAACCACAAATACGTAATAACATATATCCAAACCAACACAAATATACATCAACACAAATCTTAAGGTTTCATTTATTTAAATTATATTTCGCAATTAATTAATTACAAAAAAAAAATAAAATAAATAATAGTTATATAATACTAATATAAAAATACTTTACTAATAATAAAATGCCTTTATCGTAAATAAAAGAAGAAAAAATAAAATACCCGATTTTATTAAATAAAAAGGTCAGGTATCCACTATTATTAGAATATAAAAACATACTATACCTAACTAGCCTCAAATAGATTCTTCCCTCCTTAAACACTCATTATATACCAATCTCAACACTATTATTTATTATTACCTTATTTATTGCTTTTACCATACATACGTACCTACCAACAGCTATATAAAATGGGTGTGTGCAACCATAAATGGTACTTATACTAAGAATATAATCACATGATCAGGATCAAGGTCACCTGATACACCAGCACCAGTTCAATATGAAAGGGAATGCAAATAACGATCGTGTTTTAATTGGTTGTTTTAAGGTAAGAGAAGAGGGGTTCCCCCGAGTGGGGAAAGATATTTATTATATAAATACGTGGGCTGTGCGTGGGCGGTGTGTGTGGGCATAACCTTGGTCATGTGACGAGGTCACGTGACCGTTATCCCAACAGTAAATAAGTAAATAAGTAAGTAATTAATTAATAATTACGAATATATATTAGTTAAAAATTAATTATAATTATTTAAAAAATTAATTAAAATATTAATTAATTAAAAAAATAAAAAGTTAAAAAAAAATTAAAAAAAAAGCTTTTTATATAAATTTATATATTTATATACTTATATTACTTAAAGTATTATTTATATAACCTCGAATATTTATTAAATTTTATTTTTTAAAGCTTTTAAAATTAACGGGAGCGACGGGAGTAAATATAAACTGTTGGGATAACGGTCACGTGACCTCGTTACATGACCAAGGTTATGCCCACACACACCGCCCACGCACAGCCCACGTATTTATATAATAAATATCTTTCCCCACTCGAGGGAACCTTTTTTTTCTTACCTTAAAACAACCAATCAAAACACGATCGTTATTTACATTCCCTTTTATATTATTACGTAATACATAATTAATTTAACATAAACGCTTAAATATTTAAAAGTATATTTGTTGGTAGGTACGTACGTAAATAGGAATAACAATAATAACGATAAAGCAATAGCAAGTAAATCAATGGTATTAAAACTGGTATATTAAGATGTTTAAAGAGGGAAGAATCTATCTGAGGCTAGCTAGGTATAGCATATTCTTATATTCCAATAATAGTGGATACCCGACCCCTTTATCCAGTAAAGTCGGGTATCTTATCTCTTCCTCCCTTATCTACGATAAAGGCACCTTATCATCAGTAAGGTGCCTTTATGTCAGTGTCACACGACCATCAATATTAAATATTTTAAAACGTTAAATATTATTTAATATTAAAATAATGGTAAACGTTAATAATTACTAACATTTTTTATCTTTAAATATTTAAATAAAATAACGGTATAAATACGCATAAATTTTATTAAACTGTTTTCTCGCACCACCGGAGTCTGGTACGGATATGTAATATGTACTTAGAAGTTTTGTCAGATTATCCACTTGACCAAAAGGTAACTTGTAATGTCATAAAATGTCATTACTTATTATATGCGACAAGTTTTGATTAAGTAACTACAAACTTCCAACCCATCGCTTGCCCTTAAAGCCGCAATGTGAAGAAACAGGTAGTAATAGGAACTTTGTTCGTATAGTCGAGGTGACCCGAGTGCCAAGGCGAGGTAAGATGAGATCGGGAGACGTGTTCGATAAACATGATTGGACAACCCAAGTAGCCAAGAATCAAGATGAACATTTGCCGGCGGTAAATTATGACTTTGATTCATACATACATTGCGTTGCGTTACGGTACTTATCTTACGTCGGCTAGAATGAGTATCTCGATAACATGGAGCCGAACCCTATGGCATCGGAATTTGTGCATGCTAAATCGTATGCTGATTACTAGTCAATAGCGTAACCTTTTTCCTCCCATCTCTTTTTTGTCGTCGCCCTAGAGATCTAGCCCTATGGCTAGCTGGTTTTTATTACGTTATTAGATGGAAATAGAAATATATTGAGAGTTGCGTCGGATACGACACCACGGTTTGGGTTCGGACTTCTTAGCAAGCTGAGCCTCATCTCGGACTGCCTGGACCATGCTTGTCTGTAGCACATGTACGACAGCCGCGTCAGCGGCGGGTGTTGCTTCAATGCAATACATATATCCTGTCTTGGGGTTGGTATGGTGTGGCATAGAGAAATGCTCATGATCGGCCGATAGCTCCTATTTGGCCCTGCCTTGCTTCCCTTGCTATCTTCTGAATCCTGAGATCAGGGTTCTCACCGCCGGTACTTCGAATTAGTCGATTTAGAGATGGGAGAGCGATGGACAGACGCACAGCTGAGTCAACTTCTACGGGAAGGTAGCTTATACTAGTGACAGACAGGTAGGTGGTGTTCTAAACCCTCCAGAACCACAGAAGCATAACAAAATGCCAATGGTATGTCATACGTATACTAGCGAATAACGATGGTTCAACAGAGATTAAACCAAGGTGTCCCCGGAAATGATACATCCGATCGAGGCAATATCAATGGAGCATCATGTACGTAGTAAAACTTGTATGCGAGGGGCTACCTGAGTCGAGACTGAGGGGTCTTAAACAATGGGAAAAAAGGTAGTAACGAGCGCACATATATCATCATATGCGCGGTACATACAGGAGACCTACAGGAGGTGATGGTAAGGATGTCGAAAGAAACAAGAATGAAGTCGCGTGTGCTCTTCCCGAAACAGAGATGAGCTGTGACCGCCTTTCCCGGAATCCCTATTGCTACCTAGAAATGGAAATGAATACTATGTTGCTGGAACGCTGTTGGATCATGATAAACGATAAAATTGAAGCCCGGTCTGCTGCAAGCCACCGATGAAGCCCAATGACAAGACATAAAAGTTGGAACAGCGTTGGTGCCTTACGCACCGTATGGAATATTTTATACTGTATTCAATCTATTTTGCATAGTTACACGGATCTATCTAACCTATGTACCTAGGTACCTACCTAACATTACCTACCTACAGGTACCTAGGTAGCACACATCCATACGACCTGATATATAAGGTACCTTACCTAAAGTAAACTGTCCGTACGAATGATCGACAGTCAAGTTAAGAGATGTGGATATATCGCAAGTATGTGTCTACCTATATTTATCAGCTTCTTATCTTTAACGTAGTTTATATGTGTGCCTTTTCTGCGGATGGGTCTTTTCCTCTTTGCTCTCTACATACTGATGTTAATTCGGGACGTATGTAGAGCTGACATAGAACATAAGACCCTCGGTACCTACTGTACGACAAGCCGAACGTTGAACCATGTAAGTGACAAAACTAAGAAGAGCTAAGAAAAGAATCTAATGCAGCACTTGCATGCGTATCCGCCTATTTGTGGGCAATGGCCTATTCTATGTATGCTCAAGAATGGTCCACCGGCCGCTGTTCTTTAGGGCTAGGGCGCTACAAGATGTACCTAGCCTACATCAGGTAGGCGGGTTGGCAGGTCAGACTAGCGTCCGCTGCAGCCGTGCAACAACAGAACAGTTAAAGCTAATTGATTACCAACCCAATCGCAAATACCTAGGTCATCCATCTCTCTTATTCACCGCCAGATCGCATCGAATCCTTTGGACCGACGCCGGAACCAACTGTCTGGGAAGAAACACATCTGCAATCACATCTGCAGTCTTCTCCCACCCTGGTTTCCAGTTTCGGGTTTGTCTGCGTTTGTGTTATGCCTGGAGTACCTGGAGTACCTGGAGTTTGTCTGGGGGTGGTTAACTACATAGGTCTGTCACAATATATTTAGATCTTCCATGCGATTTGAAATATCTAGGTACAAAGAAACTTTGAAGCCTCAACACTTGTATTAGGACCCTGCCTAGAAATTCGGCTAGAACAACTACCTAGATGGAGACTGGAAGCATCTAAACCCCCATAAGTAGTGTATGTATACTATGGTAATTGTGTACGTTGTTTCGCTCTTAAAAGAAGAATTGAGAAAGTCGAGTAGATGTTCATCCAAGCATAGGTTCGTTCCTCTTAGCATTTGGTCGTACTTTGTTTGTATTGGTAAGGGTACTGGTGAGATTGGACGTCATAATCGGCAATGTTATGTCCATAGGTATGCTTCTTTCCTAGGATGCATGTACCTACCTATGTACCTACCTATATACCTACATACATGTAGGTACCTACCTTATTCTTTTTCTTTTCTTCATGTCTTCTTCGTTCACGCTAGGTACACTGTTGGAAGTATCGAATAGCCGGGGCACCCTTAACATTGAAGAAGTAGCGTATAGTTATAGGTACCTAAGGTAGCTTGAACTTACATAAGAGGGAAGGCGGTCACCCACTTACCGTACCTATTACATACATATACCTATACATAGGTAGGTACATATGCACCTAACCTACCTAAGGTAAGCTTCGAGAGAGGGACGATTTTAGCAACTCTTATATCGTACCTTACGCATTACTCGTGAAAGACGCTTCCTTTCTCTTACTCACAATTCGCATCCTTTTACCAATTACGCGTAAATTTTCTAAGATTCATTTTACATTATCCTCGAATTTTACATGTACCTACTTAAATTTGTTTGGGAAAAAGGTTCATTGAGCACCTAACAACGTGTCCTTGAAATCGACTCGACTCTGGGCCCCTGTCCGTCGTATCCATTCATCTCCGATTACGCACATTATCACGTCGCTATCAAGCTTTCACGCTCTCATGCTCTCACAAATCTTCAACTAAACGCGTGCGACTTGTACTTGGTTTGTCACTCCACGGCCTCGTGGCCTACGACGTTCCTTTGGATTGGATACCGTTGCCTTGTTCATCTTCAGCTTTCAGCTCCTAGTTTGCCGTGGATTCGATTTCTTGTTTACCACTATAACTACATCATCTGACTCTCACCATTGTGTTATCCTACATCACCTAGAGACAACTTCGTTTCGCTTAGTTCAATGTCTTTCTACGCCATGGTCAACACCGCGGAGGGCCCTCGCCACTGGATGGGTACCTGTTAAGACATCGGTAGTTTCTACGACTCTACCTGCGTTGTTGATTACCTTGGTTAGGTATATACCTGGCATTTTGGGCCTTGAAAGTACCCGGAACCACAATGTTGGGCAAGCTGTTTAATCTAACGTCGGGAACGACTGGAGGTACGAATTCTCAAGAAGATTCTTCTCCGACCAAACTGTCGCCCGAATCGATACAGGAAGATGTTCACACGCGGAGTCTCTTGTTCCCGGATACGCAGGCTCTCTACTATCGTCAGGACCAGGTGTTTCCATTGTCGTCCACGTCCGGTGTTCAACCCGGGGCTTCCGCAAGCCCCTTCGACTATGATGGCGATATTGATATCGACGTGCGCGATGTTCGCATCATAATTATGCAAGATGCTTTAGGCTCTGCTAGTCCTTCATTATTGTTTGACAGCAACCACACTCCATCGCCCAGTTCATCAGTTGATCACCCACAGCCACCGAGTGCAGCTTCATCCTCTCAGTCGCTTATGCAGGATCTTCGACGTGCTCCTACATCGCCGCGGAAGAGTAGCCTTGGGCAGACCTCGAGGCCACTAGTTATCCAGCCTGGCAGTCCTCAACCCCGGCAAGGTGCATTTGATCGACGCGGATCCGCCCAGTCCCGCGCCTATAGTGCTGTGGAAACTGAGTCCCAGAAAGCTGCTAGGGAATATCGCGAAGAGTTGGCCAGCTTCTCCAGCTGTATCTTTGCTAATTCTGAAGTAATGTCTTATAAGGGGACATCGACAAAGGTTCACATCATTCCAAGCGAGACGCGACCATCTGCCGTCTCTAGTTCATACGTAGGAGATGGCCGAGGATCGATGGGGAGATCTAGTATGAGATCAAGTAGGTTAGCACAATCTTTCACATCAGAGTCGGCAAATGCACATTTCCAAGCGTTTTCCGCGCCTCCCCGGCAGCAGGACCGCAGCAAGATTCTAGTGACCCGCCTGTTTCCAGTCAACCTACCAAATGACGACCTTGATTCGCCTACCCAGGCCACGACGTCCCATAGCCGCTTTTCCGAGGATAGCGGAGGATTCCCGTTTCCTTGTTCCCCGGACGACTCTAAGCCTAACAAGAAAAAGTCGAAGCCCATACAGAAGAGGACGCCGATGTATGCCGTCGCTTTAGTCCTTCAACTTCCTTCAAATCCACCTAACGCCGTACCAGCAACTGCGCCGAAGCCCGTTTTTCGAGGGCCAAGCTCTTATAATGAACAAGACTTTTTCCCTTCCTCTTTCGGATCCGCGCGCCGATCTGGGTGGACGATGATCGGTTCCGGTTTTGGCTCGGAATCATTTGAGTCGACATATAGTAATGAGGTCGAGGATCGCATGGATGCGATAACTCAGCACTGGGACATCATTATGAGGACCCTTACCCATCTGCAATCCATAGTCGCCACGACATTGATCCCGATGCTGAAACAGGCGGATATGTCGGCTCCAGATCCGTATCCCTCGAATGTATCTGCTCAGATCGCTCGAACATCTTCAGTGAAGAGTCGAAGAGACTCGGATGCATCTCAAATGAAGCCGTCTAAGACAAACGCAAAGCTTGTAACACTACCTCCAAATTGTCTGGCGCAAGATGCACGCATTGGCCAAGAAATTGACGATGCTAAGATACGAATTGTGTCTGGTCTTCGAGCTACCAGAGTTATAACAGGGCAGGGTCGTTGGGGACCATGGAGGGAGGAGGCAAGATGGGTTGCAAAGTGGGCTGGGACTAGGGAGCAAGGATTTTTCTTTTTTAATCTGTTGACGGCATTTCTTTCGACACATACTGAGTGGCTCCAAGCGTTAAGTCCAGTTTGGTACCGGAGGCGACGTTATCAACAACAAAAAGTAAAAAACGAAGAGGATACCTCCTTACCATCTCGCACGATTATAATCGCCAAGGACAAAATGGCTGCTAGGAGGTTAATATTCTTACTCTCCGCCTTCCTGCCTGCTAACCAGCAGCTGCCCACAGTCCGCGCCCAGCGCCCAGCAACCTCCGCGTCAGTTGCAGCCTTTGGCCACTCGCCACCATCGTACATAGTACCGATCAATAAGGAAGAGTCTCTACGCCGAAAAATCAATCGGCGCCAAGGGCAGAGAGGTGCCTCTCATACACGAAGTTTTAGTATACAGTCGCAAGCTACAACGAGGTCTGTAACTGGTATCCCTGCGCAGCTCGCGCATCTCAGCATGGAGCTCTCTAACCAAGAACGTCGATCGTCGGATTTCATCAAGCCAGCGAATCTACCTATTATTGGAAACGATCTCAACACGCGAAAGAGCAGCGCCGCGACGGCCAATACAATCGTCCCGGACTCGGCTATTCCACACTTCTCTACGGTGCACCGGAGTAGTACCAGCCGCGGCACCCGACCAAACAGTGGTGGCAGTTTTGCCGCGGATGATTTAAAACGATCACTCAAGAGGGGTGATAGTACTGGCCACGCCAGCCGTGCGAGTACTGACTCTCGTCAAGGTTCCCGATGGGGAAGTGTGATCAGCGGCTTGTGGAGTACAAGACGACGAGACTCAACTGCTACTACCTCGCAGACATCGGACATTCTCGGCCATCCCGATAGTCCACTCGCATCACCTACTCGAGCAACGGTTAGTGGAAGGGACAAGCTTTCGGAAATGGTTCGAGAAGCTCAGCTGCTCGATACGCCTACTAAGCAACAGGCAGAGGGTGAACTTACCCCACTTCAAGAACCAGATACCCCTCGAAGATTGGAAAGTAAGCAGCTCGAGTCTCAGTCGAGAACCCCGGATCCCTTAGGTGCATACGAATCTCCCGTGAAGACGTCGATTAATAACGACGACGGAGTAATCGATGTAGACGTACAATTCCCAGACTACCTTACATCGTTTGAGACCGCCGTCAGTTCGCCGTCTAGTAGTGGCTACCTCTCAACTCCTGGCCTAGGTAGTGGGCTCGAGGGCTTCGAACAGTTCTCTAGACTGGCCATTGATGGTGATGCTCCCTTGAATGTTGCCGGGTGGTTAAAACGCTTTCACCCGGATTTCACGCTACAGGCAATCCCACCTCAGGGAGACCTCCTAGATGAAGTTCGAGAATCTCTAGCCGCGGAACCAACCCCTATAGCTCATCTTAATTCGATCCCTGCAGAGTGGCCTGCAGAACACTGGGTTGACGTAAGCAGCGCTATTATTGCTGATACAACCAACTTTACTATTAAACGGCTCCGCTATCGGCGTTTAGTCAAGCCCAAAATATTGCTTGACCGCAACACGGCCAGTTACCTGTCGCCATATGGTTCTTCTTTGATAACACCAGCGCTCTCGCCTTACGAACAGCCTATTAAGGATAAAATAGAAGAAGAGGAGCTGTTTACCTTCGATGAAGCGCTCATTGACGCCGTAGAGAGAGTCATCGCCCACAGTAGTGATGTGAGTAAGGGAGGTTCGGCTACATCTTCACGATCAGCGAGCAGACGGAGAGAGAGAAGGGATAGTGAAGTTTCTCGAACGACAGAGCAAGAGGTCCCGACGTATCAACTTGACTTCCAGGAAGTACCACGCGCGGAATGTAAAATGGTTGTCTTATCTGCGTTGTCCGGAGTTGTACAGGACGTGGTAGACCAACGGGAGAGAGAAAGCCAAAAAACGAACCCAACTATTCCTTACCAAATAACCCGCGAAAGGGAGAGCATATTACGAGCCGCGGTTAGGACATGGCTCGAGAATGTGGAACTCACTGATGGATAACTTTCCAAATTCTGAATCTACAACTTCTCCAAAAGGACATTTTCGTTTCTGGTGTCTAGAGAAGGGAAATTTTCATTTAATGATAATGACTAACGACTTGATTTTTATCGCGTTTTGCGCTTGAGTTGCCTCGAGGGCACAGAACAGAGCGTGGCGTCACGACGGGGGAATATACGAGCATGTACCACTACCAACACCGGTCTCATTTCCAGGGGAGGGAAGATTGGAAAGACGCATTTTTCGTCAAAAGATACCCCAATAAGTATGCATGCATAATTACACATTTTATTTCCATTATTGCATTTCCCCCCCTTCGAGTTCCAGCATTTCACGTTCGGTTCAGAGGGTGTGTCAACGCCAGGGGGGAAGTCTAACGGAATGGTTTGATGGATGAAAATTCCATGCACGTTTCAGCATTTCAGTGCGAGTGTGTGTCTTTTTAGCAAAGGTGTGATTTTTATAACTCGACACTTCAGTGTTTGGTGCTGGGATGCGAAATGATACGATACCATGCAATGATGGTAGCATTGTTGTTTATAAATGCTATGTGATATAATGTATATCCTACGCTATGATGGTTTCCTTCAACCATCATATCTTAGGCAGTGTTATTTGTGATAAATTACCACGAGGTAATTAGTAATCTTGAGAGCTGAGAGGTTTGCAATAGCTAGCAGGGCTTACGAATTCCGTGACAGATTTTATGAACCCCAATTTGTGAAATCGGAATAAGAAAAATCTATTAAGAAACTGGCCTAGATTTTGCTTCACCTTTATTCTATTTTCTACTGACGGGTATATGGACAACCAACTACTCAACCCCCTTTTCTCCCGGTCGTTTTACCTTCTTAGACCTCACGAATCCCGCAAATATAATATAGCCCCTTTAAAGAAATCTGTATTTTCCCCGTCTCTTTTACTCGTGTTCAACCACGATCATCACCACTTACTCACCACGGCCTTAATGCTTTCCAGTAAGACTGCTACTTCCACTACCTTGGCCTTTTCACCCTTAGCCGATAGTCCCGGGTGAGGATCCCGTTGTAGAGTCCATAAGTTAGTTACGCCCAGACTAGCCAGATACTCAAGTGCGCGACTGTAGTTAGTGCCTACCTGCGCGATGCCGTGGCTGTCATCTGAGAGCGTGAACCGCCCCCCTAATCGCAGCCACTCCTCGGCGATCGGTCGTGCCGGATACGGCTCTATAAGCCCTTTGCGTAACGCACTACTGTTGCACTCCAACCACCCGCCGTACTCGGCTACAACCCGCAGGTTACGGCACACTCGGTCCCAGACTCCCGGCCAAGAAGTCCGCATGTCACGCCCCGGCTCCGAGGATAGAAGCCTTACAAGGTCGAAGTGGCCGACGATGCGCGGGTGGAGAGCTATGAGCATAGCGTGCTGCTGGTCATAATATCGCTCCGCGGCCAGCTCCTCAGAGCCCCCGGCAGAGGCGATGGCCCGCGCATAATACGAGGCATCGTAGTCGATAGGAATCCCGTCGATGTGGTGCAGGCTGCCGATGAAGTAATCGATGCCAGGGTGAGTAGCGAGCTGCGTCACAATGGACGCGTAGGCGGGCCGCGGCCACTCGCCCTCGAAACCGATCAATATGTGGATTTGAGAAGCGTACTTGACTTGCAAGCGTTGGGCCTCTAAGAGGTATGCCTCGTGCCGCGGGAAGAGCTCTGCGAGGGAGCCTTCTGGGTTGTCGAGCTGGAGGTGTTAGTTGTATATCTATATTTACACAGATAAAAGATGGGCAGTGAGATAACTTACTTCCTCGGGATATAAATCCTCAGGGGCGGTCCGCGGCATGTGCTCTGTGAGCCCGAGGGTGGTGTAACCAAGACCGATGGCGTGCTTCACGATGTCTTCAAGTTGGTCTTTTGCGTGGCCAGGGCAGAACTGGCCCGAGTGGGAATGCATCGTGAAGGCCATAATTCCTTGGTGATATGATTTCGATAGTGATTGATGCTACTCAGCAGGATGGAGTATTAACTGTGGTAATAAGAAATAAGGCTGATTATTGGGATTTGGGCAGCACTTATTTCTGTCTGGAAATTGGGTGCGAAGGATTGATTTATAAAACAAATCCAATGATCTAACAACTTAACGCTACATCTATCTGTTGGAGAATCGTAATATCAGGTCTTAGTTATATGGAAATTCCGGTAACACGTTTGAATAACATTTTAAATTGAAATAAAACGATGTGAATGTTGAGATACTAAAAATCGATTGCATTAATTCGCAAATACAGTGAGGTACATACTTCCAGCAGAGGTACCTAACCTAACTTACCTACTACATATGTACCTCATAAGTACCTATTAAATGTACTTTCTCTACAAATATGTACCTAATCCTATCCCCCAGATTCCGCCGGGAAGAGATGGTCAGGTACCCAGGTAGGTAGTTACCTATGTACCGTCTTACCTTCTTGCATTTTGGAAGCGGTTGTGGTTGGCTAAGCTCGATTAAAACAATCTGATGTAGAAAAAGTTAAGTTCGACCTTGTAAACTTAAATTGGCGTATAATATATGATGTATGATTCATGGATTCACCAATCACAAATCATAGGTTCATTTAGGTATGGGTTAAGATGTGGGACCTGCTATATACATAGGTAGGTACCTATGTAGGTAGGTAGCAATGCCTATCGCCTTATCGCCTTTGACCGGGGCTGCCTGCTTATGACATCGCGCCCGCCAGTGGAATTTTTCTGGAACTGCAATTGATCTTTTCAGCCTTGTACCCTTTTCTGTCTTTGGGAGCTTGATCAACGGCGATTGTAAATCATTTATCACCGACGAGAACTTGTCAACTTTTTGTTACTCGATGCAACCTTCAACCCTCGACACATAATATTTACAACTTGTTAACTTCACCATTTTATTTCCTTTGTCAAGGAAACGTACTTCAATGTTGAGATAGGGATCCAAGCTTCCAATTGACAATGTTGTTTCCCGAGAGCGACGCGTCTCTTCTTAGAGCTTGGATCATAAGGCGCCTTGCCAATACGTATGTTTTCCAACCTCGTCTAGATTTTTATTCTTGGACTTCCTATCATATGGCTATTTCTAACCTTTATATCTTATTTTCTACTTTTAGATCCGATGCAGATGCGGATGTACTTGCCGACTACGTTCTAGCTCTCCTACGACACGATGGCGACGCCGAGTCTATTCGGAAGATGTTCGAGGAGGAAATTCCTGATTTTCTCAGAGAAGGTATAAGATCTTCCCCATTTTAGCGAGTTGACTTTGTATCTTAAATATCTGATGTATCACAGACGCGGCCGCCTTTACAGGTGACGTCTTCCAAGCCGTTAAATATCGTTCTTACTTGCCAGGAGCTCCTCCTGCGCCTCCGCCAGTTGCGCCCTTAATACCTTCATATCAACCTCATCTACCATACAACACAACCCCGACGGCTCCAGCCTTCCCCCAGAACGGTTCGCGAAAGCGCACGTATAATGATCGAGACGATAACGACGTGGACATTATCTTAACAAGCCAAGGTTCTTATTCCGGAGCTCAGCCCTACAAGCAGCCCCGTAGAGGGGGTAGCTTCTCACAGCGTGGTGGGAGATTCGATGAATCTTACAAGCCAAGAGATCAAAATGGGTTTTCTGGTCTTTACCCGGTATCTTCTAAATCTAGTGGCCGCTTTGGACTGCCACCGCCACCGTCTTTTCAACCCTCTGCGCATGACCAAGGTATGGCGCCGATAAACTTGGACAACCTTATGGAAAATATCCAGAGGATGAATCAACTCGATATTCCTATTCCTCAGTTACCTGACCTTCCTAAACCTGTTTATTCAGGCTCTATTCTTCCGCCACGTCGGAGAAGACAAAAGTGCAGGGATTATGAGACTCGTGGCTACTGTTCTCGAGGAAGCAATTGCAAGTTTGAGCATGGTTCTGATTCTTTAATGATGCCTCCACTTCCACCTTCCGCAAATGATGGTAAGTAGATTTTCTAGGAACGTGACTTGAATATTTTGGTCGCCGTCGCTAACTTGTAGTAGAATATGATCCTAACAATGCCGTTTTCCCAATGCCGCTCCTAGCGAATCAACACCAGCCACAGGTATTCCAGTCCCTAAAATTACCTGCCTTTCCCACGGCGGCCCCTACCAACCGTCGCGAACATAACAAGTCAAGACGGACAAAGGGTCGACCACCTAATACAACAAGCGGTCCTATACATGACAAGACTAAAACGGCCATCGTAGTCCAGAATATCCCCAACGGATATTTCACCGAAGAGAAAGTGCGTGAATACTTTTCCCAGTTTGGCAACATCACAGATATTTCAATACAGGGGCCTGACCGCCTTGCGCTTGTTAAGTTTGATACTTGGGATGCAGCTCATGCCGCCTGGAGCTCGCCAAAGGTAATCTTTGATAACCGGTTTGTGAAGGTGTTTTGGCACAAGGACGATACCGAGTCCAGACCAAATTCGGTCAATGGGACAGCCGGAAATGGCGTAAAGAATGGAGCTACCAATGGCAATTCGCTTATTGAAGAGAGTGCGCCTACCGAACCCTTTGACATGGACGAGTTCATGCGCAAGCAGGAAGAGGCGCAAAAGGCCCACGAAGAAAAGACCAAGAAGAGAGAAGAATTAGAGCTCCAACGCCAAGAATTAGAAGAACGTCAGAAAGAGCTTCGTGCGCGACAACTTGAGGAGAAGCGCAGGCTTCAGGCTAAGCTTTCTGGAAAAAGTCCGTCCTCGGAAGCAACAGATGGTACTACTAAAAAGCCTACGTCACAGACAGAGGCTCTTAGAGCCCAATTAGCAGCTTTAGAAGAGGAGGCTAATGTCCTAGGGATCGATCCGGACGCTATTCACGAAGACTCATCATGGTCTATTAGAGGGCGTGGTAGAGGCAGCCGAGGCTATCGCGGCCGTGGACGTTATGTCACGAGAGCTACTAGGGGCGGGCATAGCTACCAAGGCAGAGGGGGCATAGAAGCTAGACACGCAGCTTATGCTGCGTATTCCTTGGACAACAGACCCAAGATAATCGCGCTGTCTGGCGTAGACTTTACAAATCTGGAGAAGGATGAGGCATTACGACAATACCTTTTTGTGAGTTGCAAAGAGATCTATATTTACTATTAGTATCTAATCCATTATAGGGTATTGGGGAGTTCAAGGAAATTCATACAGATCCGGCCACAACACATATTACGTTCAAGGACCGTAAAACAGCAGAGCAGTTTATGATGGGTGTGTCTGCCAATAACGCGATTCCCGGACTTGAGGACAAGGTCGAAATTACGTGGGCCACATCTGCACCTCAGTTTGAAACGAAGACTCATGCCGATGATAACGTGCCCATGGCTGATGGTATAGAGGACGACCAAGGGGCCAGAGATAAGACCAGCGCTGAAGGTAGTAGTGTGACCATCGGGCTGGAGGAGGGAGATGTTAGTAATGGGCACGGTCGTGATCAGCATGATATGGACTACGAAGCTGGAGAGGATTGGGACATTTCCTAAATGGAAAGGCGCTAACCATAGTTATGTCGATGCATTGTAACATTAGTATGTCCTACCGAGGATAACATATTCTTCCACAGCAAGCTACCAATGATTGGTGAGCCGAATACGACATATGAATAGGCGCAAGCTATTACGATGCTTCAATGTCCTTGGTCCACAATGTTGCATGGCCCGACGATGGGTAAAATACATATTCAATATTATGATCATAATTTTACAACTCGCGAATTAGCTGGGTTAGAACATAAATTTGCGCCCATACTACGTTTCATAGGTACCTATTTAGGTGCGCATATACTACCAATACACCTGCTTCTCTCCTCGGTTATATCCTGGGAGACATGGTTGAATATTTAATCATTAGTTTTCAATAAAAATCCAATCCTAGTCTGACCATAGACGCCGCATACAACACACTTGACTATCCTATCATTGCTAGCAAATATAATCAGACATGTCTAAATCTTCCTTGCTTCCTCTGCCGCATCTATCTACGGGTAAATGTGCCTAGGTAGGCAAATAGTAAGTAGATATGCCTCGGTTTAAACTGAGCCTGATCTTATATAAGTAACAGGCAAGGTAGTTTATCATATTAACTTCCATACAGGACCTGAAGAGGCTCGATCTTATAATGTTATATTTATGCCCTTTTCTTTTGGTAGGCAGAAGAGACCTCAACTTTCCATCTTCTTCCCTATTGACACTCCCATCCTCTAGCATGACAAGCATACCTGCCTCGCCTTTTACATATGGACTCTTCCCTTAGCTACGCGTTCAAGGCAACAATTTTCGATATTGAATTTCTGGGTGACCTGTAGCCAGAACACCAACGGATGCGGAACCCCGCTCCTCGAAGCCATGGCAGAAAAGACAGTGCACTTGGATTACCTGTTAGTTTGCTAGCGGTGGTATTTTATCGGAGACATATATCGACAACTCTTGGCTTGGGAAGTTTAGGGGGGCTCACACATTTTACGCTAATAATAATATTGAAGCTCTTGCAGTTTATATCCCCATTTAATCTAACATGTACAGAAAGCCCACGGATAGTCCTCGGATATCACCACATCCCGATTCTGTCTTACCTACCGATTCGGCTTAGCGGCCGGGCGGGGCCCTCAAATATTTCCGTCGCTAGCCCGTAAAGTCTCCGACCGGAGGACCCATTTATCGGAGCCTACGATGCCTTGAAGAATGAGCATTGCTTTGTAACATGCTGATGTGCCACCTCCGCCCAAAAATAAGGATTGGAGGACAAGGAATAAATTATTGTATAAACCCAAGTACATATTGTAAATAAAGCAGCTACCTTAGTTAACTACCTACAGTATATTTCGACTTGCATCCCTCCTTATGAATCTAGTTACTGCTTTGTACCTTAAAAACGGAAAGTCTTTCTCATGGCGCCACCAACCATGACCATACTCAGCCCTAACGCCCTTCTCGAACACCCTTCGAGGTGAAATTTGCGGCGTAGTTCCTCAACATGACGTCAACGAATAGCTTCACATAAATATTTACCATTGAGAATTTTCTTTAGTAGATCTTACCCATTATATCTGTTACCTATGTTTTACAACGTTGATAACTTATAAAATCACATTTTCATAAAGAGGAGTATGTATAGCGTAGATTTAAGAGGTTATATAAAATGCATCTAAAAATGTGATTAAATAAATACTATATCTACCTAATTACCTTATCGCTAGTCTCCTCTCCGTCCTTTACGGAGACGTAGGCGTAACAGTTGTGCTCTGGAAAGTAGCGCAGCTAACACCTGTGGTATCGACAACCATCTGAGCGGCGCCGTCATGTCCCTGAGCACAAGCGCCACTGGGAGCCCGTAGTGCCGTGCCGTCGAATTGCACAAGCTCGATGTTTGGGGCGGCGCAATCCTCGGCTCGGAAGTGTGTGCCGTTGAACCCGACGCAAGCGTTAACGCCGACAAGGTCCGGGCGGAACCCAGCTGTGAAGCTACGCTGCACGCTTAGGACGGAGTTGCCATTTAGCGTTGTCGGTGTAATCTGTCGGTCGGCTGCGGTATTGACACAAGCGGCATCGACAATCTCACCTGTAGTATTTTGTAAGTAAGTAGGGTAAAACAAAAAACAGACGTCGATTATATCTAATCGCTAGATATAGCTATGCATGATGGAAAGCATACCATTATTGCGGAAGGTGAGGCATTCGTTGCCCGGTACGCCATTGACTTCTTTTAGGACGAGGGTATTGCCGGCAGCAACACCGGTAGCAGCACCGTTGTTTGTGTTACCAGTAGCGGCGCCTGCGTTAGAGTTGCTTCCTTGCTTTGCCTTGCTAGCTTTCCCATTTTCATTCCCGTTACCCTGGCTGTTTGCTGGTCGGCCTGCATGATGCCTAGCTAGTAAGGATGATGCCTCTTCTAGGTCGGTAGATCTCGCAGAACCGACATGCATGCGATCAATAGCAACAGCTGACACGGAAGCAGCGAGAAAAAGTACGTTGATGAACTTCATGGTGAACGGATAGATGTAACTTGTTGGTGGCAAGAGGTTATTAGAAATAGTAAAGAAAATGATATGGCCCAGCCAAGAAGAAGTAAATAATAATGAGAAGATCGAGACAATGTCCGTCAAGAACTGAACGATACAGATGAAGCTCTAGGTTACAGAGATTGATATGAACTATTTATACAAATGATCGCCATGTCAGTGGAGTAAGATGGATCCATAGCTTCGGGTTTTAGATCGCCAGGCACAATAGAGAACATAGTTAAGTTCGTCTCATCTTAGCTTGCTATGAGTTTTCTCAGGCTGATTTTGGGTAGGCGACGTCTCACGATGCTTGTGAAGCAAGGAGTGAATTCTTAGCACGTGGAAATTGCCTGCCTCATCCCTGGTTAGCCCGCAAAATGATGCGACGATTTACCCCCCTGCCCCGCGACGCTACGGCGGGAGAATACGAATACCTACCTTGTAATATCCTAGCCGCGCTTCCCGCGCGGATCGATCTAACCACATCGATCAAGTTTCATCGTCTTACAATATAGGGGTGCTTAAGGTAAGTAGAGTATTCAGGAGACAAAGGGAAACACGGGCACATCCGTAGAAACGAACCAATCTTATTTCATCAAATTGTCCTAAGCGAGGGATATCATAATGCCTGGTGACAAGATGTTACCCAACTGGACATGAACAAATTTCGCTGGGATATTCGCCTTAATAGAATAGGTACTTTTGAGCTATCGGCGAGACGACCTATTGCTGTTAGGGAAAAGGCTAAATGAGATGGAGTTCCTGTTATTGAACGTAACATTTCAACAGCTCGTCAGAGAATACATGTGATTCTGGATATGTTGAGGCGATGGAGAGTTTTGCATCCTAATTGAAAGATATTCGACAATTATAATCGTAATTGTCAGGACACACAGCTAAAATTCATCTACAAGGGTTACATAGCTATCTTAAAACGTTTAACAAGCAGTAAGCAAGATGAGCACAAGCGAATGTTAGTTATAATTAATTACCAATTAATAGAACTCGCTGCTCTGAGTTTTATACCAGCTAACGCCTCCTGTTCTAGACATATAGAACACCGAGCATATCTTGGTATAAGGTAGATACCTACCTAGGTAGTCTGTGAATATTCGCGATTTAGTCATGTGAACTTATATTAGATTTACCCATACCGTGTTGCTTTATGTACACCACAAATCAATTACCAGTCATAAGTGACGAGTATGTGGCACAAAATAAGGTGATTAGGCTGGTTGGACAAGAGTTGGCTGAGGCATTCATGGACCATCATTGCTTAGGTAGGTGGAATTCTAACTTAAGTACCTAAACTATATAAATATCAAATTACTCCCTTGATCGTGTTTCTCTTGACAACAGCATTATCACCTCTTCTAACATAACTTCGCCAACCTAATTAGGTTCCTGAATATCGTATCGCATCTCTGAATATAAAAACCACACTTCACGATGAAGATCATACCCTGCTACCACTGCGGTACAAAATACTCGGACACCTGGAAAGGCGACTGTATCGCGTGCCATGCAAGTCCGTTTTCAGCATGCAAATATACTAGTTGCGGCGAAGGTGCTCCAAAACATACACCAGTGAAATGATGAGGCCATTATCATATTCCTTCTATAGACCTCCCGTTAAACGCTCTGCTATATGATGCCAGGGAGGGCTTGTACCCAGAAAACGATATGGAGACGTCCAAACTAGCGACGGTTTAATCGAAAGGCGAGTTCGATTTCAAATTATTAGAAGACCGGCTTTCTATCATCAGCATTATAGTTCTGTTGAGATTGCATCTTTTCGCGTTGATCATTATATTTACATAGATCGGTCTATTGTTTCATTTCTCGATGAGTATGAGGCCGGTAGTACCTAGAACAACTCTCCCAACCGTTATATTATGAACGAATATTCCTTGCGTTATCATATGTATACTATTAATATATACCATATCCTTGGGAACAACATTTTGATGTATGAAATCAGAATAACAAAGTGAATAATGGGCCCTATCTATCCCTATATGAGCAGCAGGCTAGAAAGACTAATATATTTCGTCATTCTCTTGTGGGAGACCAGTTTCTTTCCTCATACCAACTTCAATATCCACCGCAGCCTTTTTCTCCATCTTTCTTTCTGCTTTCCCATTTGCCTTGTCATGCGCTTTAGCTCTCCATTTGGGCCCAAATCTCATCACGGCACAGAGCAGAGGACTAAACGGAATCCAGAGGAAGGCGACGAGCGTGTCTGTCCAACCTATGCCGATGCGATCAGCGAGAAGATTTGCGACGGCGGGAGCGCCTGCGCCTAAGAGGTAGTGGAACATAGTCCAATCGTCAACGAATCGAATCCATATCTTTGCCGTAGTTGGGTTGATAGAGTGCTTAAGACTATGAGATAGCCAGAACATAGCAGTGCGCCATACCGAAAGATCATGCCCGCTTCTTTCTAGGCCGCCATCTTTATTGGAATTAAAGGATTAGGACGATTCCGACCTCTCTGTATGGGTTGTACGTCAGCGTCCGGATTTCCTCTTGTGCCTCGTTGCCGAAAATAATGCCATAACGAGAGCTGCCATATAGGTGGCGATACATACCCATTCCCTACAACTGACCGACAGGTCTCTGGAATGGCAACGACGATAATCGCAAAGAAAGCCCTAGCTAATATCGTGAGAAACTATAATATAGACCTCCAGCCAAGATAATAACCAAGAAGGCCTCCGTTGATAAGTCGTAAAGCAGGACCTAACGCCACCCCATAGATTCGTAGCCGATATTGAACTGGTGCTGGTGTATCAGGTAACCTTGACCCTGATCATGTGATCATATTCTTAGTATAAGTACCATTTATGGTCGCACACACCCATTTTACATAGTATCATCCACTTTTAATACAAGTCATTCCTTTCTTTCATCATCAGTCATCATCTAAAAGTCCTTGATATCAGGTCTAATAGGGCTTGATCCAAGGCCAAGACGTCTAAGTCTTGTTCAATATATTTAATAATACTAGATTATTTACCGCTACTCATCGTAGGTAGTTAGCAACTTATATGTCCACACCTACGGTAAACAAGCCCATGTAGTATTTAAGGTTAAAGGAGAGGAAAATCGATGATAGGCTTATGACTCGAGGATAAACTTGCTTCATATTATATCCTACTCATGTAAGACATTCAAGTTTTGGGCAGAGGGTAGATCTAGCCTGATATTAAATTATAAGAAGGGTCACAAGTTACATGGGATTGAGTAGAATATATCAAATTTTATAGCCCGAAAACCAAATACAAAGCGAGTGTGTTATGTACGACATGTTTACCTCCATCAAGTCCCTGTTTTTGTCCCTGTCCCAATAACCCCGCCAAGATCCAATGTAAAATTTACATACAAGAAGGAGAAGTATGCTTTTCGGTCAGTACCAGGCCATACCTCCAGTGTATATCATCTGCTTTTAATTTATGAGTAGGTACATATCGACTCGTTCATCAAAGTGACGTAGCAATATTGTGAACGAATGTGTTGCAGTTGTTGGTTTGGACGTTGTAAGTCGGGTGATCTTCAATCCAGTCCTGCGCTTTTCTCTTGACCGCATCGTGCTTTCTCTTGTTTGTCTCACCACCAAAGCGGAGCGGCTTATGGTCGCTTTTCCACTCAGTCATGGTGAATACGGACTTGCCAGATTTGTCCTTGGTCAAATGGAATAATCTAGCCTGGAAGTTCTTGATGAGGGTGGACTTCTTTTTCACGGTCTTTTCTGTCTCGGTTACTTGGCCGACTATAATCCCGATATGGTCGAAGCCCAGACTATTTCTCAACTCTTCTACCTCAGCCTTCGTCTCGTGGTCCCCCTGGATTATTGACCCACGCGGCCATGTTACGTAAAAGTAATAATAGTGATCTTTCTTTAGATTCGAGTGTTTCGCTTTGATAGCCGCGTACTGAGGTGTCTCTTCCACAGTCGGAGAACGAGCAACTAACTCTGCGCTCTCTACTGCGTTATCAGCACGAGTGACGAGCTCTGTGTTCTCAGCCGGGTCGGATACGGTGGCAATGGGACTAGTGGCGGCTAATGTAGCCAAGAAGGCAGAGAGCAAGTAAGTGAACTTCATCGTGGATTGAAATGAGCGTAGTAAAAAAATGTAAAGAGTGTCTGAGGAAATGAATGCTCGTCTATATGGAAGTAAGTTGACGATGGTGATTGATAATGTGTTAATTCAAGTTATACAATGAGGGGAGGTGATAGAGAATATATACTTTTCTCTCCTCTCTACGTAGGTAGCTGCTAGATATTTTAAACATTCATTCCTTCATTCTTCTCGCCGGTTTACTCCCTCGGAATTATCGGCAGCCTGGTCTATAACTAATACACTTCGGCCTGCTTAACTTAGACGTGATGTGAAGTATCCTAGGAATCAGCATGCTACCATGCCATGAGTGAAAAGGATCCTCACGACTTTTTACAACTACCTAATGCAGGCAGACAGCAACCCAAAGAGGTAGCGTTTGGGGCTGATCGTCGGCAACGGATACCTACTGATGGGGGAGATTTCCGATTCTAGAGTGCGTGCCTCCCGTTTAACTAGTACATAGGTGGGTTAGGGGAAAAGGCGTCTGCGGCACGAAGCGCGTGGTTTTGTACATAGTGATATGAAACGTTGTAGCGGTTTTGTCTTGATCAGAAGTTCTGATCCTATATGATGAACCCCACGATGAAAATCCAAAGTGTTCATATAATTTTGTCGAGTTGGTAGCAGAATAATTATCTGCTGACACCAACATTTTCGGTAATCACCCACAATTTTCTCAACCGGGTTAAGTGTGGAATTATCTTAAGCTGCTTATTCTAAACATAGATATCCTTTAATTATCATTGCTGTTGGTTGGTTAGTTCGCATGTTTGGCTGCCCGCGCCTCTCGAAGGCGTGTGGCGTACAAAGCAACATCTTCATCTACCTACCTTTTCAGGCAATCTGTGTAGGCACTGATTGTCCTCTGTCGAGCCATTCATAATAGCAGATTTCTAAGTAAATTCAAAGTCATTCTTAATTCCCTAGGTTAATCATTTAGACTTGTATATCTTAGGTTATGTTATGAATAAGCCACGGCCCAAATACACAAGCAGGTATGTATATGAACTTTAGAATAGTCAATTGAAGAATGTAACACTAGGTAATTAACTAGGATTAACGGGAACTCCCGACCAAGATTTTGGGACTGAACTTACTGTCGATCATTGGACCTGGGGATATAAAGGGTCCTTTCGGCTGGGAAAAGGGTGCCAAGCTTACTAAAAATAACCCCTGAAGCCTTACATTACATTGAGCCGAAATGGTCGCGTATATGTATATAGTATCAAAGATACGAAATTGTAAAAACGTATAATCAGCTCTTTTGACTCTTCCCCTTCTAAATTATATTCCTACCATCCCCTCCCCCCTAGGATATTATTCTATTATTTGTTCTATTCGATACACACAATGGCGGGAGACTACGACTACGATCTGCCAACAATTAACAGGTGGATTGCACAGGGTAAGCTGACCAAGGACCATATTATGTCACGCCTTGACGGTATTGTCCAGAACGGCGTAATCGGTTTAGAAGACAAGCAGGCCCTTCAAGCTACTTTCGCATCGGCATCTAGCTGCGCTCCCTCGGGCGATGGAGATACCTTGACCGAGCTGGCCTTCATCTCTCTTCTACAATCTAAGGCTGGCCTTCCCCGAAACCCCGAAGGCGCCGAAGTCGGGAAGATCATTTATGAGATGCTCGTTTACCTTAGCACTTTACCATTTCCAACGCGGCCGCATCATCTTCAACCAGAGGGTCTCACCTTAGTGCAGATCGCTCGAGCCTTGGCCTGGGCGCTGTCGGATAGGAATAAGTATATCTTTGACGAGTGTAACCATTCGCGGATGCGAACGCGATCGGACCACGACCGCATAATCTTTCAGAGCCTAGCTAACAGCACTGTTCCCGCCACGATGCAAGATGAGGTGCGGCGGCGTGTGAACGAGCTCGCTCACCGCAATCTTTTCGATGTTAACGAGTTCTTTCATGATCTTTGCGGGCTGAACAACGATGCTGATGGTGACGAGATTTATCATGACCTATTAGAGGTAATATACTCGACACAGGAGGAGGTGCCCCCAGGGCTAGCAAACGTGCCGCGGGACAAGTTCCGATCTATTGCGAAGCAGATCAAAGCGGACGAGAAACTGCCAGAGTTGCATACTCTTTCGATCCCGGTACCACGATTAGAGGTATTTGTGAAGGTCATGTTGGCGCTACAATTCGAGACTGTCACTTCTGGACAGAATTCTATTGAGCTATCACAATTTGACGATGCGGCACGATGCATCTGTACCGCTTTTATACAGGACCAGGATGAATCTCAAGGCTTAAACGCAGGCGCATCGGGAGTTATAACCTGGCCCTCATATCACCAAGCCTTAAGAACATCTTCGCCGTACCTGCTATACCCCTTCTACCGGCTGCTCACACTCGCTTTTCTGGATAAGCCGGGCACTTTTGATATTATTGATTCATCCGAACCTATTCCTCACATCCCAGCCGACGCGGTGCTCACTCGATCGCGAGCGAGTCAGCTCAATACATTCCTCGCTCATTCTACCTACGGTCCAGACTTACGGCGCATGAAATACTATGTCTCATCGAACTTACCTACACCAGCATTCCTTGCACAGGCCATCCAAGACGTACCCGATGAGGCCATAGTGCTATTTGCCGGGCAGGCCACAGGTACCGGGCCGGCAAAGGGGAAACTCTGCGTCTTCGGACTTTTCAGCCCGAAGCCCAAAGAGGACCGCTCCCATATTCTAGCCCGTGCAGACTTTAGGCCTAACGCCGAGGGGCAGCAGCAATGCACGTTATTCCAGCTTGCGCCCAGCCAGGACTTATACCAGGGGGTCGCTGGGGCAGCGGGATGGAGTACCACCGTCGATGCTGACGGTAGTGAGAATGTCATATTTGGACGTGCTACTAGTATTGACGATATTGGAGGAGAAAGGGGGGGAGTAGTGCTTACGCTTCGGGATGGTTTAAGACGCGGGGAAGTTAGACACCGGGGTAGAGGCGTCGACGTGAATATAGATTCACGCACAGATAGCCGAGCAGGAGAAGTAACTTACAAGGCAAATCCGAGTCGTAGTGATTGGGTACTGGAATTTGACATCGATAAAATTGAGATCTGGAGTGAGATTAACGGTAGCGAGTCTAACTAGGAAATCGGGAACAAACCTACCTCCATAGGCTATCGAATCCAAGTGTTTCCGCACATTTATTAAGAATAATGATGGTCCAGATAGCGTGAGTGGTGTGTCTAGCTTTACCGGTGCTGGAAATTATCTAAACGGTGGCATTCAGATGTAGAATGTCCTGGTTAGGAAATGGGACAAAATCGTTATATTAATTGCCAATACATGTCTGTCAAATAAGGTGCGCCGCAATCTCTACTAAATTATTCACCAACTAAACGCCTCATCAACTAACTTCACCACTCGGCTTTTTCTTCCAAGCTCAGAGACAATAGCTCGTGTCTCATCCGCCATGCTGTTTGGCCCACAAACGACGACGGCTGTCTCGCCGTCCCCGACGACCTCGCGCCCTAGAATTGCCCGTAGATTTAATCGTCTTCCGGCCGCAATTTCCCCTATTATATTTGGTACAAGGATATCTGGGCCTAAGAAAGTCGTCACCGCCTCAGCTAGCGACTTATTCCTCATACCCCAAAAAAGACGCATACGGCCGGTACGGATACGGAGAATTGGGACCATGGCAGAGATTCCTACACCCCCGGCAATGAGGATGCAATTTGGGACCATACGGAGTTCGTCGAGCGACGTGGCGGCGTAAGAGGCCTCGACCAGAACGGGCAATGTCTTCTTTTTACGGAGAGCGGCAGTCAGACCTTTTCCGGCAGTATTAATAAAGAACGTTAAGCCTGGCCTGAACAATTGGCTCGTGGTCTGCGGGGAGGTTGAACCGTCCGAATCGACGGCATCAGTGGTGGAAGCGATGGGCCTTTGAGCTGGTGCTTTCTCTATATCACCTGAAGGCATGCTAGTGTCTTCGCCGGCCGTGGCCACACTCGATGCTTTTTGTATTTCATCGGCCATCATAGTTCCTAGCACGGAGAACGGATGATTCTCCCATGCGAGCCAAGTGAGGGTAGGGAAGTGCAGATATGCATGGCCTTGTCCGGTAATGTTTGGAATATCGAGGCGGATGTAATCATCGTCTACAATACTGACTTCGGCTTTTCTTACTCCATTACGTGCGAGTCGAACAAAGCGCATAAATCTATCAAAAGCCCAGAAAGCTAAGGCGATATACACCCACGTCTCGTACCCCCGCTGGTTCATGTATCGGTGATAAACGTGGAAGTAGCAGCCGATCAAAGCTATCAAAGCGAAGATGAAATGGGAAGTGAGGAAGAGGCTATAGAACTTCCGACGTAAAGGAAGTGAGCTCGTGGGAAGTAAAATGGTCATTAATGAAACCGCCACGATTCCCCATATCCAATAAGTCTTCTTGCTCTCGGCAGCAAATGTGCCAAAGGCGATGTATGCATTTAAATATATAGAGGCATGCATGCATGCTTCGAGCGTGCAGATGATTGCGACCCAGCGATGAAGAAGGAGGAACGTTGAGTAAGACCAGTCAGTAATAGACAAGAGTATATTATTTCGGCCTGCATACAGCACAAGGAGCGCAAAGTTAGCAAAGCTCAATATCCCCATATGATTAGCAACACATTGAACTGGTGTGGTGCCACATTGCCAAGAGCAAGGGTATTATTATGTAATCTTAAGTCACAGGCCATATAAAGGTCTAATATTCGTCGTATTCTTCTGATCAGATAGCCACGATCATCATCATTCAGTTATGCATTCAATATAGACACATTCGTTATTTTCCCATATTTACAGCTTATGGCCCTATCTTGCGTATTTATCTTATATATCCTATCCGATCAGTAGATCTTTACAGTTTTTTCAGAGTATAGTGCTATCATCAGCTGTTTAGGGCCTTTCACGAGGATCTAGACGTTGAAGTGATATGCCATACTCTGCAGGAGATACCAACTCCTGTTCAACATCGCAATAGTTCGGCATTTCCATCATCGTTTGATATTGGTGGATAGTCGATGCATAATAATACCACATTAATGAGTATGAAGTACACTATCAGCGTGGCCTGGCCACGGGTAGGCACAAGGGCAAGATTGCGAAATGGCTGTCGATGTCTGCGGCCGAATATTGGCGGATCAATGAAGTACGCGTTAAACTGGCTTGTTGATTCTTTAGGGAATGGGACGAAGCGGAGTAGGGAGCATGCTATGGGTATAGCCGCACCAGTGATCAGAAGAACTAGTCTTTACCACGAGTTAGCATTAAACATTTAAGAAAGAAGATATTGGTGATTGACGAACCCAAACTCTGTCTGCCTAGTTTCTACCTGCTGGAAAGAGAAGACATGATCATATTCGCTTAAATAGTCTTCCTCAGCAACTAGTGTAGTTTGGCTTAGCATCGACGTAGGGTTGACCACGACGGCCGGCGGCGGATCAATATGGGTTAGAGTAATAGAGTACGATTCCTTTGGGCTAGTCTGGCCAGGCTTACGGCCTATGAGGAAGTTGGTCCAGTAATGTTCAAGATCAGAGAGAGGAGTATCAAAGCAGTGAGTACTGATACAATAGGCAAAACTGCGAAGGAAACTATCATCTGTTGCGTAGCAATCGTCCGAAGTCATAAAGCCTCGATTATAGTGCCTTTTCATGCTGTTATGGTCCACAGAAGCAGAACAGTTGAGTTAATATAGACTTATAACATTGCGGCAGGCATAGGCGCAGATCGGATCGTATATAGATATACCGTATCCAATGAAACCATGCCCTCCTAGGCTCGTAGCCGCCGTTAACGAAGCGATTATAGTGATGATTAAAATGACCTTCATATTGACCGCTCAGATTCTAAGCGCAATTAGATCGAAATAGATAAATCGAAAAGAGGGATTGGACTATCGTGAAAGAATCAAGCTGTGGGATAGAAATCTTGGTTTCTAGTTCTCCCTCAAAAAGAAGAATTCCTACGGTTTAGCCGGCTTAGTCTAGGGAGTATCGTGATGCTTTGATAGATGGTGACTATCATATCCTCACGATTATATTTAATAATAGTCTAAGTCCAAATACTCGTTTCTTTATCACAGAGTCACACATATGCCCATCACCGTGGCTTCAGACCGAATCGAGTGAAAATGGGCAGTTCCCCGTCAGACATGACACAATTCAATGTTTTCACCCAGCTTAGCATCGGGCCGTAATATGGTAGACCCATCGAAGAACTTCCATGACTGTATATAGACGCTTATTAGTCTACCTAATGCGCTAAATATTAAAAGGCAAGACGATGCAGTAGTATATACCATTGAATTTATTCAAGTACCGCAATGGTAAGGAGGGTTCCCTGTACGATACATATTATAGGCCAAGTAGGATGAGACAAATATGCTCGTTTGTAGTACACCTACTGTGGACAATTATGAAGACTCCCTCTGTGATTAGAGATGAACTAAGTAGATTTTGGCAGGTGTTGAAAATACGGTATGGTAAACAGTCCATCTAAACAGGTCACGTATTTGTTTAGAGAACTAAGACTAAATAGCATAGTGTCCTTTCTTCATTGTACTTGATTGCTATAAATTACGACGAATGATAGAAGCTGCAAATTATAGTATAGTTCACGAAGGCAAACTTGATGGAGTCGAGCAAGGTCTTGAGTTGATCCCAACGTTTAGCTCCTCAGTATTTAACTACCTGCTATATATGTAAAAGCCGAAGAACTGGTCAAGTTTAGCCCCTGAAGTTTGAAAAAAGGAGCCGAATCCACCTGTGCCAAAGCAATACGAGGCTAGAAATTAAGTAGTAGGTACTAATATATGGAGGCGTTGGGCAGCTCGGTGATTTAAGACAAGCTTGGGCAGAACTGTTTTTCGAGTTGGCAACGATGGAATGTATCCGAGAAATGGAAGATAATTCATAGGTACCTACATAACCTATATATGTATTTTATTGACCAAAGCTGAATAAGGGTCTGGAACACCTAGTACATGTACCTATCTGACGTGGCGTACTGCTGTGTAACCCGCAAACGAAAGACTGACATCATACGGAGTTAAGAGGCAGATAGTGTACCTACCTAATCTCAGAATTTAGAGCGTTTCGATTTATCAGTCTATCGGCCACGTGGGGCTTGTGTGTCATGGGGACCCTCTAGCGCTTTCTCTAATGCAGGTGTCTTTTCTTTTTCTTTTTTTTTCTTTTTGATTTGTCGTTTGAAACGCTTCAACTTCATCTCTTCTTGTATGTACCGTTGTTATATAAGCCATCATTCGGGCTTGTTTCTTCACCCCATCTAGGATCAAGTTCTAGCTGATTGGTGTTGCCCGTTTTGATTCCCAACTACGTCTCCAGAGTTTACCAACCCATACAAATACCAACCGCGGTCACGAACATCTCCTGCAAGTACGAGCTATCCTGTCAGTACTTAAAGGCAGGATGTCCCCCAATAACCTGGAAGGCATCGGTAAGTGAAGCATCTTGTAGAACATTATGCGAAGGTTCAACTAAACAGGCTACATTCGTAGAACCCGGCGTCGTAATAACTCCCAAGGTCTCCGAACCATGGACGGTCGAAAAAGTACTGGCACAAATCCATCCCGAAGCCCCTGCCGAGGGGTCGAGCTCACCGGTTCCTTTCTTTCATATCCTCGAGCGGTTAAAGACGAGCAAGCGAGAAGGATGGCGGCGGTTCGGTATTAACAGGTAGAGCATTCCTCTCCCCGAATTAGATAAGAGACTGGTCGCTTACAAAAAGGCTAGAGGCGAATCGATCGCGGATCATATGTATCGCATGTCCTTAATGACTTTCCTATGCCCTCCTTCGCTTGCATCCAAGCTCGATCTTAACAAATGCATGAAGATGTGCCTCATTCACGATATGGCCGAATCGATCGTTGGGGACATTACGCCGGTAGATGGTGTCCCGAAACCGGAGAAAAGCCGTCGCGAGGCCGAGACGATGGACTATATATCTAAAAATTTATTGGGCAATGTGTATGGAGGGGTTGCCGGACAGGAGATCCGAGCAATCTGGCAGGAGTACGAGGATTCCAAAACACCCGAAAGCCTCTTTGTCCACGACGTGGACAAGATGGAATTATTGTTGCAAATGGTGGAGTACGAGAAGCGGGCAGATAAGCGCCTGGACCTGGGCGAATTTGCTTACGTTGCGACCAGGATCGTACTTCCGGAAACGCAGGAGTTGGCAAAGGACATCCTTAAGGAACGCGAAGAGTTCTGGGGGTTAGCACCGCATGTTCATGGCGAAGCCGGTGTGAATGGCGGTGTGAAAAAGGCGACGACACAGGATCAAGATGCCTACTACTCTAAAGAGGAGAGCTAAAAAGGAGATAGGTTCAATGCTATAGCGGTAAGCAAAGCATATTGCGGTATTGCAGTCTTGCGCCGATATCGAAAGATTCTTGGTGTTGTTGTTTACGCTTTTTGCTTTATGTCAGGTACATATGGAGTGTATTATCACATTATCACATTATCATGGCAGGTAGAATGGGAGTAGGGGTTTGGGATGGCATACATACCTTACATACCTCACTAGAGAATGGAGCTTATGGTTATGACCAATAATGATAGAATATTGCAACGCTACCGACCGCCTGTTTTATTTCGCCGGTGAGGATGCGCGGAGGAAAGATTAAAAAAAAAAAAAAAAAAAAAAGGCATTAAAATACTAGCACCTTTACATTCAATGTAACATTTAGCTGGGACCCGCTATATTGAATCTGGTATCCGGAAGTGGCACCCGGGGTTGGCTCCTTGGCGACCTGGCAACGGCTGTTCTATTGACTTTACACTTTACTGGCAAATGATTCCGACCCAGCAACGGGTGTGATAATCAAACTCAACAATTAAATTTCTGGAATTGGAATTAAAAGTGCAGCGTTCAAACACTTATTCTATTATTCTACAAGATGTAAGTCTTATCAACATCTTCAAGCTGTACTTATTAAAGTTAGCTAAGCCATTTTCCAGCCACCCAGGCAGATAACCTTAAAAGCCAGACAGGGGTCAATGAGCTAATAAGCTGTAGAGTCAAGAATTGACCCTATTGGTCGCTGGGTCCTCAAAAGTCCCCAAGTCCAAGTCCAAGTCCAAGTCCAAGTCCAAGTCCCCAACCGCGTGTCAGCGACACCACGCGAACTCTAACAAGAGAAAAAGAAGAGAAAAAGAGGCTTGTGATCACGAGCACCAAAACCCATCCCACCCTTCTTACACCATATCATACATTCCCCCCCTGCTTCGCGTACTCTAAAATAATCTTCGAAAACAACAGACGTACAAGCTGCATCAGGGGTATTTTAACAGTAAGACTCGTCCGGTATCGACAAAGGCACCGATAGCTCTTATTGATAGTTGAGTATCTTTGAACAAAGCGAGACAGCGCATTATTGGGAAAGTTGGTAATGGTGAGATAACAAACGGATTGTTTTGCTGTCTCGTCTTTTCAAAGAGCTCCGACGATACAAAGTTACGCCTATCTTTCTCTATTGATATATTTCCATTTTCTAATCTTCTACGCTCGCTATTCCATTCAACCAAATATCGGCTCCAACTTAATAGCGTCAACACTCGTTTTCACCTCGGTCGCATTCGTTTCGACTCCTTTGCGTGCGTCCTAACATGTCATTCGGGCCACGGGTCCTTATGCCGGGCGCATTCCACTTCGAAACTCTTAACGACGGCAGCTCCTTGCCTGGTGTTCATCCGGGAATGTTTCGACCTCCTATATCGCCCTCCGCTTCGAGTTCCCTATATCTAAGTAGATCTACCAACAGCTTACACTCGGATGCATCAACATTAGGCCTTAATGCGAAGAGGAAACGGAGGGTGGCTCGCGAGTCTAGACTGTTCAATAGCTGGGGTACGAACAGAGCCGATGCAGCATCTAATACCGATAGTAAAAACCAGGGAGAGGGGAGGAAGTATGTTCTGGCCGGTCAAATCGAAACTCCAAATGGAGTGGCTCCTGGGGCCTTCATGGGCGCGATGGAAGATAGCATATATTCCGACATCGATTACAGGCGCGCCTTAGGCCCTAAATGTGCGCCCGCGACGATCGAACCGTCCGCTATTAATGCTACATCTACTATATTGTCATCGTCACCCTCTCGAACACGGCAAACGAACGGATGGGGTTCCATTGCCTTGAGTACTATAGGCGGAGTCGTCGGAAAGGTATTTCAATTCTGTAAAACGGGCATGTTTCGTGGTTTCTATGCAGGCGGAGGTAGGGGATACGGGATGAAGACGCCACCTAGGCAACCATCAACTACAAATGGTCAAGTTTGGTGCAACGAGCATGATATTCCCACCCTTCCAGATTTCGGCTCTAGCACAGCACCAATCGAAATTCCCCAGTCGCACTATTTCCCATCTAATTACAGACAAGAATCACCGGAATCCTCGCCCTCTCCTGCAGCAAAGCGGCGACAGATCGATACCGGAGCCCCTGGAGATGAACTGCGCCGGAATTGGGTCATGGTCCGGGAGTCTCCCGAAAAGACACGACCGCAAAGCAGAGCTTCTCAAGCGTCGACAGTCCGTACATCTCAACAGCAAACACTTCCGCCCGTTCTTCGTCGACGTATTAGTCGACCCGTGAGCCGCGTAAACACGCCTAGCCACACCCGACGCCAGTCTAACAGGATAAGCTACGTCGGAACCACGCCTGTATCTAATAATGAGCTGGCAAGTTTTGCCTCCCCTCGAGCTCAATCACCAGCCGTATCGTTGCATACTCCTAGTAGAATCCCCATCCCAAGCCAACCGCAATCGCCCAGTGTATTCTCAGCCTCTCGTATTCCACAACCAGCTTCTCTTATTCCTAGTCCTAGTATTCACCCGAGGCGTAGTCACGGGAGAAACCACAGTACGGCGTCAGCGGCATCTGGTACCTCCTCTATTAGGATAAGAAGAGGTGATTCGACGCAGGAGCTTAGAGACTATAGCCCTCGACTAGATGACGAGGCGAAGAACCTGGCTGCTAAGAGACTCCAGGAGGAAATGGAAACTGACATGCGGATGAACGACTTCAACGCTCGGCTAAGGGATATGATTCGCCAAGGAAAAGAAGCACTCGGGACGAAAGTGGATGTCGAGATACATGATGATATGGAGGGTGTGGATACTTGGGAAGACGCATAAATGACAAGGTAAAGCGCGACAGTTCAACGATTTTCCTCTGTTTCAATTGCAACCAAGGATATGGCTACAAAATCGATGGCGTGGCTCAAGTCCAATAAAAGGGCGTTTAAGGATATATTCTGTTTCTGTTTTGGGTGCAATGATTCAACGCCAACTTGATACCAGGTTCATGTTTTCTACGTCTGTTGGGATTACGGCACCTATTTAGATATGGCCACAGGTCTAGGGTATAGGAGGATCATTTGTATAAATTCATAATGATCACATTACAAACTACTGAATGAATGCCTGATGTCATCAACTTGTCACCAGAAACCTCGGAATCCGTATGTTGTAGGATAACTGCGTCTGTTCGATTGCCCGGGGACCGTCACTCTAGTAACCATCACTCGAGGAGTCATGGTCGAAGACGTGCCGATTCGGTAGAAAGATACCGACATACAAGCGAGCTAGAGCCAAAAATAGGAGAAGGGGCTCTTGCAGCCTATCAAACCCCCAACAAACCGTCTGTATCGCCCGATTGATGTGTTACAGCGTCTGAGACGGAATGAAGTATAGTTGTAGAACTTAATATACCATATTACTTTTTTAGGTAGTTTACATGCCTAAATACCTAGGTAGTTAGGTACTTACTATTATTATTATCATGTTTCCACGTCTATCTTCCTGACTTATACGTTCTTGACCCCCTAACCCCTTTTCTTTCATATCCACATTTCACATGAATTTAGTACAATAGAACCTACCCGAGTAGTACATTACCCAGTCCTGTTGGGACCAGTGATATCTCCGTTATTACTGTTTGATTTCCTCCTTTTGAAATAACCCTGATACGTTGAGTAAGTAATCCTTGCTATCATAGCAACAAAAAGGGGTTTGAGCATGCACTAACTGACCTTCAACGCTCGGCATCCATGGATCCCGCAGCTTGCAAAAGAACTCGCCCTTAGGCTCGACCTGACCGCGGGCGTGGTCCTCCATCGTACCGTAGAAGATGTATATATTATCTCCCGCATTTCCCTGCAACCAATTCTCATCAATATAACGTCCGTGGAAACCCGTAAAAGATTCTTTAAAAGTACCTATGCAAATCAATGATAGGAGCGAGAAGCTCGAGTAATCTTCGGAATTCATCAGATAAAATTAAGGAGAAATACGTACACCGTATTCCAAAAGCGGCCCGCCACACGTATCACAGAACTCGCGATGTAGCAATACGCCGCTCCCGTTATCCGCTTCGTGTATTTTTATATGATCCATTCCTTGGGTAATCTTGAATGTCGACTTGGGGATCTTAGTTGTGATGCCGTACTCACAGCCCGTAAACTTCTTGCAGTTACTGCAGTGGCAGATACTCGTGCGTGCTTGCGACTCTGGGTCCTCGAGCGTGATGGTGTATTTTATTAGACCGCAGTAGCAACCCCCTGGAAGTGGAGTCATGATTTTACTATTTTGTCTTATTTTTCTTGGGATCGTTGACTTGGTATATAGATGTTGCGAGATTACGAGCTTCAGATATTTGTAGTTAGATGAAATATGAGTATGTAAGAATATAATAAGTACCGAGAGATGAAGAGTTAGTAGCGGCAGATCCAATAAGTTTATTTGATAGCGAGGAATAAGTGGTAAGATGTCGACAGAGTTTGCCGCGGATTCTACTTTTTAACATCAGACGTCTCAACTGATAATCACACCATTGATCTCTTGTGTATGTAAAGACTTAACCTAACCAATTCCAAAATATTTTCAAGCACGTGGGGAAAAAAAAACCTATAATTGTAGTTATTTCACAATCTTCTTTAAGATCTTGGTGATCCTGTCACTCTATGACGTCTAAGAGGCGTCACGAATGCAATTCAGTCAGATCTTTCGCCCCTCTTGGCTGGATCGGATATATTAGCCGCGGGCCGGACTGCTCCACGACAATCAACTTTCCCGGTCCTCGAAGTGGATTTTAATATATATTCGTGAAATAAACAATACATAATGGAGTATACATTCAAGTTATGTTTATACTTGAAATATGGAGACTTCTTTGACAATGTAATGCTATAGGATTTATTACAGTCTTGGTTGTAATATTCCAACGCCACTCTGAACATATACATATTACCTAGCACTTATACCATTTTACTGTGCGGAGTATTCCAATACTGATATACTGCTAGAAGACGTATATTCGCTTGTGTTTATATACCAGTAGGTTGTGTACAAACATAGTCACTTCGCTTACCCTTACGATATCAACTACCGCCAGCGGATAATCATTCCGGACTCTGAGGGTTTGAGGTGTAGTCGCAACGTTCGCCGAGCCAATTTCCATTGTTACTCTGATGCGACCTTTTCCAAGATTGGCTTACCATTCCTCAAGCAGCCTTGACAGGTTCTACCAACAAAGTGCTCTTTCGAAGTTTTGTCCTTCTTCTTTCCGCATTCTCTGCAATGAAGATGACATAGGTAGAAATTGCAATCTTTGGCGGGACACTCAACCTTCCATCGGCAGTCTTGAGTGAGATGATTCCCTCCGCACGGACATTTCTTCAAGGAGCATTTTCTTCCCGAGTGACCGTTGGCACCGCACATGCAGCAACGATAGGAGCAAAGCATGGCGTTCTTGTGATGGCTTGAACCTGGGAGGCTTGGACACCCGCACTTTCGGCTGCAATTAATTTGACACTCGAAAGCTGTGTGGTATTGTGGGAAGGGCATGCATTTACATCGGTTGCTCGCCTTGGTTGGGCAAGCATATGCCTTGTGGAACGGCGAGTTGCAATAACCACATGCTAAGGGGCAGGCTGAAGAGCGATGACTACTATGCTGGGAACAGTTAGCACACGGATTCCTAATCTGCCCCTTGACCCGTTTCTGCGTAGACTTCTTCTCAAGCACTTTGGGTTTGTTAGTGAACATTGCTCGGATGTGAGTTCGGCTTAAGCTTCTACGGCGTGATAGTTTATCAAGTTCAGACAGAGGACGTCGAGGGAAGTAGATGATCCATCCATCCTCGAGATCCCTCTTCCAGTCTTTGGTATTTAAAGCTACCGTGTTCCACGAATCAGGTGGGGGTAGACTGCTGGACCGTTGAGGCTTCCCTCGACGCACACATAATGTATTGACGGAATGAAAGGGGTTGGCCGGACTTTTAGAGTGGTTGCATGCTCGTGATGGGTTAGGGGAAAGCCGACATTTTAAAATACCGAGGCGCCGCGTGCTAATAAACCGAGGATCGATAGAAAACTCGACATTAGAGAAGGTGTTGATTCTTAGGTGGTGGCCGCCGGAAAACAAAGAATAACGGTAATGTGTTTTTGAAAATGGCCTGTAACTCTTGACGTGCTCTTTCATATCTTTTGTCCGGCCGGATTTATGTTTGGCCACTAAGTCGGGGCGAGAACGGTAGAGATGACCAAGCCAAGCGCGCATAGAAGGTTCGGATTCGAGATAATGCTGTTCTATAAGCCCTAACGTAACCTTGCTAATAGTAACCTCAGGGTCGGGTAACGGGTAGTAATTCAGAGCGTCAATGAATATGCCAGCAGAGGGCAAGTAGAGGCGCTGTAGTTCTGCTCCGATGAAGGACGAGTTGCTATCAGTCCTAAGCATCCCATATAGAAGATACATATCAAGGCCAAGTTCTCGATCGCGACTTTTGATTTGTTGGAATTTGGCATCTTGATATCTCTTGTTATAGACAACTGCTTTCACTCTCTCTGGTGACATATAGTCCTGCATAATCCGATTGACTATGATGTCGCGATTGGATATAGGCCTATGCTCATATTTGGTAAAGTCCAAGTCAATACCGTTGAGGGGATAATGCGTAGCCATGCGGAGAAGCAATGAGGTCTTGTATTTATTAAAGTTGAATACTTCCGGTTCGTATAATATCTAGAAAGAACCATTTGACGAGAATGAAAAAGGAATATTATTACGGCTTCAACATCGGGTTAGGCACAGGTAACTTATGAAAGGTAAAGTCTGAGCGTTTTGATAGTGGAAGAAGCAATGATTTGAACTGACCTAAGGCACCTGTTTTAATGTGGCTTGAAAGATAGCTGGTGGCTTACCTATGAATTTTCATTTACATGTGAATGAATTGTGGCTTATGAATCATTTGTGTACCTACTATGTACATACCTGTTCTAAGTCTAGACCTGCCCATAGACGAGCCAAGGTAACATTAGGTACTAATTCCCCAACCCCAAATGGCCTTCTTCACGATATGGGCTTTTTCTTTTTGGCGGGGAACAGCTAGGGGTAAAGAAGGGAATCAAGCTCGCCAGTTTCCCAGCTTCCCAGCTTCCCAGCTTCCCAGCTTCCCAGCTTCCCAGCTTCCCAGCTCTCCAGCTACAGTCGCTAATTTCGGCCCGTAAAGTAGAAAAGCGTCCCTCCGTTTTACGACACTCCGTTGACAGAAGAGGCAAGTCGCTCGAGGCTAAGACGTCCTCGGTCTAACCCTCGCGGTCGTGTTCCTCCAGCCATACTACCTCCAATGCTGCTGGCTATTCCTAAGGTCAGGAGGGGCATGGTTCTTATCACCTATGACCAGGTTTCGTCCAAACGGAGATGTTACCTTGCACTGTTGTCAGCATGCAGAGAATCAGGGTGAAGCAAGTAAGAGCAGGGTAGAACACGCCCACTATTGCGCCGCGGAATTACATCGAAGGTCCAGAACCTCTCATACAGAACTATGAATCTGGTTCTGGGAATCGGAGCCGCGCCCAGCTTCCAGGTTCTCCTACCCGCGCTCCACTTTACTTTTGCGCTTCGCGGTTGATCGGTTCCCTAGGCCAATATTCCCTATGAGTGTCCGCTGGTCATGTTCATGAAATGGGATCAATAATTTTCCTCCTATTACCTGGGTCATATTCGGTCATGCATATATCTACTAGTGTGTCTAGTCAGATCTCGTTCGGAATGAGTTCCCGTCAGCCCACTTGTACTCATCAGCCTCATAATCTATTAGTATATATGAGTCCTTTGGATGCATTATGACACATTGTCGAGTCCTCCGGTTCCTATCACGCGAGTAATTGGTGTGATACGCCGGTAACATCATGGGTCGCCTCGGTCTTTTTGTATCACTGCTTCTAGCAGTCAGCTTAAGTGAGCTATACTGTCTAGGTATACGCCGACGGTGGTCTTACTAACAGGGCGCAGATGTCCAAAAATGTCTTGGTCAGGCAAGCGCACCTACCCTGTACAAGGACAGCAAAACCGGTATCGCATTCGACACATGGATCGTACCGGATAAGGCCGACGGTTCTGGTGGCGTATCGGCCTGGGGTGGTCTAACCTTCGGTGTTGCACTACCAGAGAATGCCTTGACCGTTGACGCTATTGAGTTCATAGGATACCTGGTCAGTATAGCAAGTTTATATCTAATATATTAACACGCTAACCCTCGTAACAGAAATGCGGCTCCAACGGCACAACCACGAACGGATGGTGTGGTTTGTCTTTCGGGGGGCCGATGACAAATAGCCTGCTTCTCATGGCCTGGCCATACGAAGATCAAATCTTGACATCGCTCCGCTTCGCCAGTGGATATACAAGCCCGGACATATATACAGGAAATGCCAAGTTAACTCAAATCTCGTCTACCATCGATAATGACTACTATACTCTGATCTTTAGATGTCAGAACTGTTTAGCATGGGACCAAGACGGCGCGTCAGGTTCCGCGTCGACTAGTGCCGGCTCCCTAGTACTAGGATGGGCTAGCTCGCTCAAATCTCCGGGGAACCCGGCCTGCCCAGCGGATGTTACTATCAACTTCCACAGCAACGGCCAAAGCATCTGGGGCGCTACTCTAGACGAAAACGCAGCAAACCCATCGTATTCAGGATGGGCCGCCCAAGCTACCGCTGCGGTTACCGGGAGCTGCGGAGGAGCAACACCTACGACCACCACATCTACTACTGCTTCAATTCCTACTGCTACTGGCATCCCGGTCCCGACTGGCACTTATGACTACATTGTTGTTGGTGCCGGCGCCGGCGGAATCCCTTTGGCGGACAAGTTGAGCGAGGCTGGAAAGAGTGTATTGCTCATTGAAAAGGGGCCGCCTTCTTCAGGACGATGGGGCGGCTCGCTCAAGCCGGAATGGTTGGATGGCACTAATTTGACTCGATTTGACGTCCCCGGTCTGTGCAACGAGATCTGGGTCAACTCCGCAGGCATTGCCTGCACTGATACTGATCAGATGGCTGGCTGCGTGCTGGGTGGAGGCACCGCTGTTAATGCTGGTTTATGGTGGAAGGTATGTCATATACTACGTCCACAAATACAACAATACTAATGGTGAAACTTAGCCGTATACTTTAGACTGGGATTATAACTTTCCCAAAGGATGGAAATCTTCGGATATGGCCGCTGCAACCAAGAGGGTATTCTCTCGCATTCCTGGTACTGACCATCCTTCGATGGATGGAAGGCTTCGAAGTTTTAGCTGGTGGTTTAAAAGCTGGTGGATGGTCAGAAGTTACTGCTAACGACGTGCCAAACCAGAAGAATCACACATTCTCTCACTCGCCGTTCATGTTTTCTGGCGGCGAACGTGGCGGGCCTATGGCAACTTACTTAGTCTCTGCTAGCAAACGCAAGAATTTCCATCTATGGATGGGCACGGCAGTAAAGAGAGTTATTAGATCTGGTGGCCACGCTACCGGTATTGAGGTCGAGCCGTTCATAAACGGAGGATACACCGGTGTTGTCAATGCTACTTCAGTTACCGGCCGCGTCATCTTGTCTGCGGGAACCTTTGGATCTGCTAAGATCCTATTACGAAGTAAGTAACTTCAATCTCAGAAACCCTCCCATGCTCTATATTACTAACTAGCTCAGGTGGAATCGGACCGTCAGATCAGTTATCCATTGTTCAATCGTCAATTGATGGGCCAACCATGATTTCCAATAGCTCTTGGATAAATCTCCCTGTCGGTTATAATCTGGAAGACCACACAAACGTTCGATGCTCCCTAGACGGTCGTACCTCTAAATATGCTTACATCTGCTTAGACTGATATTGTTATCACGCATCCCGACGTCATATTTTACGACTTCTACGAAGCTTGGGATAACCCCAATGTCACCGACAAGAGTCTATATTTAGGTTAGCTAGGTTTAGTCCTTGTATCATATAATAGGGCCGTAGCTGACATGTAATTGCAGATTCCCGATCTGGTATTCTGGCCCAAGCAGCACCAAATATTGGCCCAATGTAAGTTGCTAAACCTGAAACCCACCAGTATTCTAATCCTGCGTAGGTTCTGGGATGAAATCAAGGGTGGCGACGGTGTGGTTCGATAGCTCCAGTGGACCGCCAGGGTTGAAGGGGGTGCCGGAACACCGAATGGATGTAGGTTATCCCAATACCTTGAGGTTTGCACTCGTTAATAGACGTAGATGCTATGACTATGAGTCAGTACCTCGGACGAGGTGCAAAATCAAGGGGCCGAATGACCATTACGAAGGCCTTAACTACTGTAGTCTCGACGCTACCTTACTTACGGGACAAGAACGATGTCCAGGCTGTTATTCAGGGCATCAAGAACCTTCAAGCGGCTCTAACAAATGTTAAGGGCCTCACCTGGACCTACCCGCCATCGAACACTACCGTCGAGGACTTTATCAATGATGTTAGTCGCGTTATATCACGCGATAAGAAAAAAAAGCTGATAATTATAGATGCTCGTTTCATACACCAACCGAAGATCAAACCACTGGATTGGTAAGTTGATTAGCATCGTATTAGCACTTAATACAACAACTAACAATTCCTAGGAACGAGCAAGCTCGGAACAGACGACGGTCGGACAAACAGCGGCTCGGCGGTAGTTGACCTCAATACGAAAGTTTATGGCACCGATAACTTGTTCGTCGTCGATGCTAGCATCTTTCCAGGTCATATCACTACCAACCCCACCTCTTACATCGTCATTGCTGCCGAACACGCCTCAGAAAAGATCCTCGCCTTGGCATCACCTAAGACACAGCCGAAGTTTGCTCAAAATGGCGGACTGCAGTGGACGGGCAGCTTCCAGTGCGCGGCACCATACACTTGCAAGTACCAGAACGAATACTACTCTCAGGTAAGCGTATCATCTTCCATGTCCGTCATATCGAGTACTGATGCCCCAGAAATAGTGTGTTTAAGTTAGGTGTCTAGGTTACCTAACTATAGTTAATTCCACGAATATTTATTCGGTGGCTTGATATATTAGGTGAAAACTAGTACCATAATTATCTTTTGAAAATGCGTAGACACTGCTTAGTAGACCGAAGTTGATACATTCCATTTTAGCAGGCTAGGTTTAAAATGTTACGAAGCTAAGGCAGTGTGAAATAATTGGCATGTGCTCTTTTGCTCGTTTTTAATATCCGTGCACGATATGCCGATCACATATGTACCTCTCTCTGCCTTGTTGTACCAATAAGCATCAAGGTACGAAGTAGATTTGTAGTACCTTACCTAGGTTGAGTACCTACCTAGGTAATATTGATATGAAGACTTAAGTTTGAAGAACCGTATAACCATGAACAACAGATAGTAATGTCAACCCTCACGTTGTATGTACCTTTACTATCTAATAGTAATTATCCAAAGATAGGTATCTAAAGAGTACGGATATACGTATGTCCGGACTCCGTCAAGCGGGAACTATCCCTTACCCCTTAACCAGTATCCGTGGATTTTATTGGGTTTCAAGCCTCCAAAACTAACCTCTCACCGCAAGCTGCCTATCAGCCCAATCAACATTTGCAGGAGAACACCGTCTAAAATGGTAATTTCAAATGAGATCCAGGTTTAATGGCCAGCTAAACTGCCACGTCAATAGAGGACTAAGCAGAATAATATACGCTTCATAGATGCCTTACCATTCCCATACTTGGCTCTCTCACGTTCTAGTTAAAAGCACTCCCGCCCCCCCACTCTGCGGCCCTTGCTACAAGTTACCCTGTTTGGTCACTATCATTACATACAACATCAACAATATCATTGTATCATTATGCCGTCCGATCTCACATCATGGATCCCCGGAAACAAGACGAAGAAAAGGGTCATCCGCGAGACTCTTACGAGGACTATCGGGGCGGCCGCGGGGGCAGCAGCCAAGGCTAATCCAGTTGTAAAGACCATACAAGCAGGGTACAATATTATGCAATTAGGAAATACGATCAAGAAGGCGAATGAGACAGCTAGCCATATAAATGAATTAGTCCCCAAGGCCACAGAATTGGTCGGAGCTGCACATCAGTTCGTCCCTTCGATTCAGGTGATGGGCCGGTCGGTTTGCGACAGTCTGAAGCTCTTTGGCTATTTCAGTACCATCGCAACTACTGTTGGTATCGGGTCTAATATGATCTTGACCTACCAGGGAGTCCAAGCGCTCAACCTCATCGCCACTAGGCTCAAAGACATCTCAGATACCCTCGCAGCGCAAACTGCCCTCATGGCTCAAAGAGAGTTTCCCGAACTGGTTTATTATATGATCCGTGAGCGATTGGCCCAGACCTCTCAGGATCCCGAGGTTGAACACTGGTTTTATGTCTTCCACCCAGACAACGATTGGTACCCCAAGTTCTTCCATCTCATCGAATCCAATCCACTTGATCCCCGGTTCTGCGGCTACACGAACCAGATCGACACGGTCTTTGTCTTTATGCTTGCAACACGAAGGTATATAGAAAAGAAGAATGCGCGTTCTCAAAGGTACGGGAAACCGCCCCGGCCAGTGCGCCTACATCTCCTCATCCCAGCCTACCAGCCTATACTTATTGCCGAGGCGCTCGAAATCCCGGATGACATCGGAGACTTTGTCATAGAAGGGCGCATTCATAATACTAGGGAGCTTGTCTGGTTTAACTTACCAGAGGACCAAAAACATCATACTATGGATATCGGACAGTGGTTACCGCCCGAGAGAGGCTGGTGGTCCTGGGCTATGACAAAGTTCGGATTGAAGGAAACGCCGCCTGAGCTAAAACAGCGCAGGATATTAGGGACGAGACAACGAGGACAAGAAGATAAGGATGAGAATGCTAATAATATTAAGGAAGACGGAGAAGATCATGATATCGAGTCAGACACCGCATTATCTAGACGTCGGGGAAACGACGAGAAAGCCCGAGAACAGGGAAAACCGCTACATCACCGCCAGCGGCCACAAGAGAGGCGCCACCGTTAGGTTGGTATGAATATAAAAATTATAAATAATTGAAATACATTTTAGTATACAAGAACATCCAGAAGAGATATCCATGGTCAATATTAAATGAAATCTTAGAGGTACTTATCGTTTAAATTATCTGGACGAGTAATTATATTTATTATGTCAGGGTTAATGTTGGTAGTTAGTTTTACATGTTAGAATTAAAGATGCGCCAAAGTTTCTAGCTCCTGTCCAAGCTCCTCAAAAGACACTTGTAACCAAAGAAATATGTGTTATGCACATCTATAAGGTAATTATGGTAAATCTATAGCGTGGATTTGAGATACCAGCCTGACCAAATAATTCGTAGTAGCCCGGTTCCCCCTTTAACTTTTAATATAAACAGTTTATAACCAATCTTGAGAATTCTAGCCCCACCAGACCACCAGAACACCCTCTAACAGCAGATCTAGTGAGGAATAGGATATATGCCAGTACCAGGGAAGCTTTTATTAACCGATTGATACCTATGAATGCCAATTCACCTCCGCCAACCATAAGTCTACCTAGTCTATCTTGTCCCCGAATCCGTATTTTTATGGTAAATCTACGAAGAAACGAAACTTGAATTCACGCAGTTATTCGAGGTTTCTGGGCATTGAGCTGCAAGTGCTTCGTCTCAACAGCAGGTAAAGCAGCCACAGTCCTGCTATGAGCCATTTCCTCTTCGATCTCAGCTTGGCGGTTCAGGTAGCTCAGGTAGGTCTGCCAGCCGACGGCAACGACGCCCGAAAAGACGCTGCGGTATTCAATGGGGATGAAAGTGAAGGTGAAGGCAGTAACAGCAGGCCACAGCTTCCAGGCGTTAACCCAACTGACGGGAACAGTGCGGCGAATTCGGTCCCAGGTCTCGGCAAGAGAGTCCCCAGCCAACAGCGCCTGAGCACCGAAGAAGTAGCTGTTGAAAGTAGGCGTGAAGACGAGTTGGTTGACGACAATCTTGACGCCAAGTGAGAGGATGTGGGATGAGTAGTTGAAGTGTCGGGAAAGCCAGACGAACCTAGATACTGTATCAATTCTGATGTTTGGCTTCGTTTTGTTATGTATAGGTAGGTACCTATCATGCACATGTAATGCTGTCCAACATATACTGACCAACCCAAAGGGGAGAGACAAGGAAAATGAATAAGACTCACCAGAGAAAGTTCGGCACAGCAGATACGCCACCAATAACCATATTCCTAGCAGTACGTTCAGGCACGTATTCCTTGCCGCCTATGCGCTGCGCGCTAATGTCGGCGGCTAGATAAATGATGATTGCGGAGACGATCTGCGTAGCCCAGGGTCTTTTCCGCTGGGCACGACCATAGGCTTCACCGGCGCGTGTTAGGGGGCCGAGTCTCTGCCACAGAGGTACGGGAGGAACTGGTGTGCTACCCACCGGGATCGGATCCCCGGTTGGCGGTTTTTGTTTCGCGGTCTCACCTCCGTTGCCGGGCTTCGGTCCCGGAGTGTTGGACTGGAAGCGGCGGGGCGCTGAGCGTGGTAGGCGTCCGACGCGTAGATGCTCTAGGCGCTGCCGGAATATGCCGCGGAGCAGCGCCGAGGTAGAAAGTGGCATGGTAGCGTAATTGCGACGGGGAAATTTATGTTGAGGGAAGACGTTTAAAGGATATGTCCTAAGAGTGGTACTTTATTTGCACGTGTATCCCGAATGATCAACCTTTTTCTTTTCTTCTTTTCTTCTTTTCTTCTTTTTTTTCTCATCCGAGTGCAAACGTACCTCGGGGTAGAGACCAAACAAGAAAGAAAAAGAAAGTCTGTTAGGGTAGGTATCTTGAGAAACGAAGATGGAAAACCGTGAAAAGGAGAAAGAGAGACAATATCAACATATTAGACTCGTTTGCGACATTTCGGAGCCACACGCTCGCGTATTGATACTCCGAGTATGTAACGGCTTTATAAGTTGCTATCCGGTTAGGTTTTAAAGCCAGTGGCGTCGGATCCTACTCGGTCTTAGTCGGAGGTCCGACGCTAAACGGGAATTCCCAACATCTTGTAAATTTGTAAATTTTGTAAATTTTGTAAATTTATAAATTCTATTAAACATGCCGAGTATATAAATAATCGGTTTTCTGATCAAGTAATCCTTACACCGTCGGTGCTGAAAACTGCATGATTTGCTCCAACTTCCCTCCGAGTCCGAGTCCGACTCCATGGATACCTACCTATATATGTGGTTGACAGCTACCTAGTAATTAATCTAACTCACCACTCACATACCCAATCTGCCTCTGCGCCCTGGGTCCTGCGCCTGCTATATTCGCTGCTAATGTACTCTGGCTATCAACCAATTTCCGTTGCTCCTGTATTCTATTCTTGAGTCTTGCGTCAGCTACCTGGTCCAGGCGCTCTAATTCTTCCCTCTCCCGGAGTCTTATGCTGCTTAGCTGGTTTGCGTTGCCAACGCGCTCGCTGCCCACGTCACGCTCCCACTGGAGCATACGGCTTTGCTTCTGCGCTTCGACGGCAAGCTCCGCATCAGCGAGGGCCTGCGTGCGTGTTAACCCGGCGTGTGTTAGTGCCTCCTGGTGCTTGACTTCGGCTACGTGGCGTGCGCGTTGCTGCCGCATTGCGCTGTTGAATAGTTCTTCTTCGATACGCGCGCGGTCCTGTATCGCTGATAGGTCTGCGCTGTGTGCCCGCCTTTTGCGCGCCTCCTCTAGCTCCGCCTGGTTAGCCCAGATTTGCGCCTGCACTGCCGCCAACTCCCTGTTCCGCTGAATCGCGAGCGTGTGGTCCTCATTGTCCTTTTGGAGACGGGCTAGCCGCGCCTTACGTTCTTGCTCTTCGAGCTGGATGTTAGTTGGCATGCCGATAGCATCGTCAGGCTGCGGGCCGGAGTTGGAATAGTATACATCAGTCCCCCGATTTGCCCTTAGTAGTGCTAAGAGCTGTGGTTTGTGATCCGAATCTGGTAACACGCGTTGAACATACATGGTGGGAGAGTAAGTGAATTTGCCGTCGCTAAAGTAGTTGAATGGTTTATTGATGTATCTCCACATGTCGGCCCGTAGCAGAATTTTCGTTGTGGTCAAGGGGTCGTTTGATTCCAGAGCTAGAAGGAGGGCGGATTTCCCATCAGATTGTAGCGTGATATCGGATTCGCTCTGGAGGAGGAAGTTTATGGCCTTTTCCATCGCCTTCTCTCGGCGGGGCGTCATCTCGCCGAAGTCAGCTGCGTGTAGGCATAGTTCGCCAAGTGCGCTGCGCCCACCATGCAGAGGGCTCGGAAAGTCAGGATCATGTCTATATTCGACTAACACTTGCATGGCTTGCAGGTTAAGCTCTCGTGCTGCATTGTGAAGCGAACCATCGTTTCTCGAAGCCCCTGCCGCTAGCAAATTGGACATTATGGTGATAGCTAAATCACCGCCGATAGAAGCTGCCATAGACAAGGGGGATTTCCCTGTCGCATCTGTCACGTCGACTTCGGCATCTGCCAGTAGTAGAGACTTCACGATGTCTTGCCGACGACATTGTATAGCTAACATGAGAGGAGTAACGCGAGAGACAGGCGCTTCGAAGTTAACTTTGGCACCCCTTTCGATCAGTAAGTTGATAACTCCGCTGCTGATTTTCTTCTGAGGTTGGATAAGGGCCCACATGAGCAGAGTAACGGTCTCTTCTTCCTCTATTTCCTGCATTACTCTGCACGTTGTCAATTGGTCATGGTAGAACCCGGCATCTAATAATGCCCCGAGAATCTTCGTAGAGCGTGGAAATTGGTCCAGAGCTTTGACGAGGATGGGCTCCGAACCAGTTTGGATGAACGCAGCATCCATCCGGCTCTGTCCATCACCGTATTCGACGAATAGTGTGATAAGATCATATATATCATCTTCAGATGCAGGGGCGTCGAATACACGAGGTAACGCAAACATTAGCGCTTGGGAATTGGGATTCTCGCGTAGGAGTCTTTTGAGAAGATTGGGGTCTCCTTGCGCGGCCGCATTCTGCAACGCCTCTCCGTGGTTGTAGTTGACGTCGGCGCCGTGTGCGAGGAGTAAATCCACAAAGTCGTTTGCTAGCTGCGCATGCGTCTCGATGTATAACCCAAGTACTGTAGCGAATGCTGATCCAACTCCATCGCCGGCGGCACCTTTCTCTAGCAGGCATTTGGCAATCTCGTAGCCTCGACCAGATAGCCACGACGAAACGCGATCAGGTGCAAACGCCCTACTAAACACTAAGGAGGTGTCCTCGACAGTGATTCTACTATCTAAGAGTTTGGAAAATGCCGACGGAGACAGCGTTGTAGTCGCGTCAACCAAAGTCTGGCAGTCATCTGCGGTGGCAGAAGCACGGTGGTTTACAAGCAGTTCGATAAGTCTCTCATCGGGATCTTCTTCGTTGACAGCACGGCCCAGAGAAGAATGGAGAGAGCTGGGAACAGGTTTTCCTGCTTGGAAAACCCAGTTCATAATGGCAAATCTTGTGTCTCTGCTTAGGTCCCAGCAAGCATCCATCGCGCGGACTAAGGTGTGAGAAGATGGTCGTTTCTGACGCCCACCAACCTCAACAATACCTAATAGCATCTCCAAGTTACCCAAAAAGGCGCTCCTCGCTGCTTTTTCGACAGCCTCTCCATCATTGTAATCAGGACTCGCTCCGTACACTAGCAGAAGTCGGACGAGATCTTTCCCGTCGTTTCCATACCTCCCAGCTGACACGAGTTGAGCATCAACTACTTCGCCGGAGACTCCTACCTGCAAGAGCAATTTGAAGATCTCTGCTCGCTTCTTTAAGTCTCCTACTTGCGTAGCGGCTTGAAATCCTCTCTGCAGCGTTTTTTGGGCGACTCTCGATTCGCCTGCTAGCAGCATTGCGAGGACGTCGACTGCCCCTGCCTTGCAAGCTTCTATGATGGCCTGACCGTCCTTATGTTCTACGCTGCCCCCATTCTGTACTAAGATGGTACCGAACTCTACGTCGCCATCGGAAGCGGCTGCTAATAGCGCATCCGATACTACTTCTCCCGATGCGCCAGCTTTTAGTAAACTGATAGACGACATGCTTCTCGATCTTTTGTTCTTGCCCCTCGTTGCCTGAGCAAAACTTGTGTTGAGAATCTCGACGGGGAAAGTCTTCTTGCCTAGAATCAGCTCTACGACGTCCTGCTTTTCTCCCTTAACAGCCTCGATCAAAGCCAGGCCGTCTCGGGTATCTGCACGGGCTAAGAGAGTATTGATGAGCGGTATGTCGTCTGGATAAGTACTGACGGCAAAGACGAGAGCTCTATTCACTTCAGTTGCCGGTATACCGCCTTCTAGGATTTTTTGCGCGAACGTCAGCCTATCCATTAATTCACGAATGCGAAGGGCGTGCGGCATAGCAAACGCCATCGAAGTAGGGGTCGGAGTGGCCGTGAATAAAAGCTCTACCAATTGCATGTTTGCCGCGGCTACTGCTCGACACAACGCTTCGGCATTCATAGCATTGATATCGGCACCGTTTGCTAGTAGGACTTTTATTGAAGAGAAATTTTGTTCGTGCGAAGGTACTTTCAAAATAGCCAACACTTCTTGTAATAGCAGCCTGGTAGCCGTATCCTTCGACTGCGTTCGGCGTAATAATACATCTAGCTTTTCGGTTTTACCTGTGGATACTGGGAGATTTCCTATGCTCTTTAGACTCCGTTCTAGGCTACTAGCATTGGGCTGCCCCAGACTTAGAATCATCCCTAGAATTTCCGAGTCGGAATGTAGCGCGGCACGCTCTACAGCTATCCCCTCGTTAATATTGACATCCGCATCCCCCTGCTGCAGCAACGTTTTAAGTAGTCTTTTATCTGGCGGATCAATCTGTATCGCTGTCTCGACAGCTGCTGATACTTCAGGACCCCCCTGTGATGCGCCGGCTGTTAAGAGCATGTTGATCATTTGAAACCGTATCGAGCCTTCATCGACTTCCATAGCCCTAGGAATCGCTCTGGCTGCTACTTGGATCGTGGGCTTGCTTTTGAGCAATCGTTCTAAGAGTTGGACATCCTTCTGTGAAATAGCTGCCGTGATAGTGTGGCCTTCGTTAAAATTTACATCTGCATTATAGCGGAGGAAGAGTGCGATGAGCTTCTCATCTCGGTGTGGTGGTTGCTCGTCGATGGTGTTCTCGAGGGCCGAATGAACCGACGGTCCAGTAAGTCCAGCCCTCAAAAATGACTCCGAGATCTGATACCGCGCAAGGGGGGGTAGATTCCGCACGCTAGGGAAGACCTGAGCGAGAGCAACGGGGTTGGGCGGCTTATTCGAAAGAATCAAGTTCGTAATAGCTACGTCCCCTTTCTTCACGGCGATCTGCAACGCTAGGGCACCTTTATGATCTGTCGACGCGGTCTCGTGTCTCTCAAATACCATGCTTCGCGGACCTTTCCGAATATCTTTGACCCCGACAAATTTACCTTTGGGAAATAGCGGCGTGAGAAGTATTTTAACCGCCTCGACATCGCCGGCTTCTACCGCGTCAATTAGCGCCTCGTCCAAGGGCGCTCCGGATGCACCTTTGTGAAGCAGCAGATTAAGGAGCGAGTAACGTTCTTCGAATCTCAACTTTTTTGGCAAAAGCTCTACGCACTCGGACGCATGATGAGAGCTGAAATTGGATTTCCCATTTAACATAACCTCTACCAAGTCGACCTTGCCCTTTGAGACAGCTTTGCGAACAGCGATCGCATCCTGGTATTCCATCGACGCACCATAAGAGACTAAGAGATGCACCATTTCGAGGAAGTAAGTGGCGCACGATTGTACCAGAGCTTTCGATACCAGATCACCTTCCGCTCCAGCGCACAACAAGATCTCCGCCATGGCTATCTTTTCGTTGGGGTTAATGTTTTGGTGACTCATGAGCTGGTCAAACGCTTCGTTAAGGCCGGGTTGAGCTGGTGGCTTATTACCGAGAACAATAGCGAGAGTGATATCTCTCCGGCCGAGAGCTACGGCAGCTTTCAACGCCGCGGCACCATCGTGATTGCCGTCTGCTGTCGACTGGCTGAGGTGCATTACCGTACCCAGGCACCCAACCCTCGCTGCCTCAACCATGGATTGTGATATCCATGACGATGACGGCCGTCCGTCGGATCCCAGAATAAGCGCGACTAGATCGGGCTGGCCTCCAATAGCGCAAACTTGTCGAAATGCATCCTGTCCGTCAGCAGTCTGAGCTACACTCGCGCCATATCTTATGAGAAGCGCGACAATGGCCGCGTTTCCGTCACGGATCGCAGTGGGCAATGCGGTATCTAGGCTTAAAGAATCGGCGTAAGGCAAAAGAACCTCGATCATTTCATAGTGGCCATTCTTGACGGCTATCTGGAGCACTTGGCTGCGTTCAGCCAAATCGATACTCTTTCTTCTGCTTAGCAAACTAGTTCGACTCTTCTGCGCCAAGTTGAGGTTCCCTCCGGCTAAATTCAATTTGAGTATTAGGCATTCGGCAACGCCTGGTGATCCTTGGTTGGTAATATGAGCCACGAGGGTGTTGTAAATTTCCCGGTATTCCCACGTCTTCTTTTTTGTTGTGAAGGCGCGCGAGATACTCCCCTTTGGCTGGTGACCTTGGGATTCGCTAATACGCTGTCTCTTAAGTAGTTCTTCTGCTAAGAACTCATCGTTATCTGCCCGGTAGGATGGCGGCTGATCAGGCCTCGCCAAGGGCGGCGGGGGAGATCGACTAGTTATACCCCATTCTTCGCCTAGTGCTTGAAGTCGCGTTTGCTTATTTTCCTGAATATAAGTGCGCTCCATGCTATAGACGAGACTAGGCACGTCGTAGCATTAAACGAGCGAGGTCTTCTTTTAGGGAGACACAGGAGAATGCTACTCCCTGAGGATGTCAATGTTAAATTAAGCTACGAGCTTTAGGTATGTAGTCATGAATGCAAATGCACCCCAATAAATTTAGAGGATATCTATGTAGAAGATATCTATCTCATAGCCTCTTGGTAGCCAATATGTACTAAAGGAAAATGATGAAGGTAGTTGATAAATCGTGGCCAACGATGTGACGGATGACAAAATTAGGTACCTAGGCGACAGGAAGACAATGATGTGCTCCAACCAATGCAGATAATTGATTATCGCCTGTTTACCTAGAACGAGGCAAGCGAGTGATAATAAGAACGAATGTGATGTCGAAATAAAAAGAAAAAGATACGAGTAAAAGAGAAGAAAAGACATGGGATGTTTCGGTACGCCTCAAAAGTATGAGACACGCCAGGGTCCAGGAGAGAAACAGCTTAAGCCATATTCAGGGGTCTTGGGTGGATCACCGCACGGGAAACATGTGGAACTAGGTATTAAAACATTTCCGTTATTTCTCCATTTAACCTCATCTAATAGTAACCTCGTCTAACCTCGTCTAACCTCGTGCTGTTGTTAACTGCCACGCATCCCTCGGTCTCTAATTCGCTTACCGGCCTGTCGACCTGCAGTATGTGGGCTGCCGTCGCGTCCCGGAAGTAATATAATTAATCTGCAATCTGCTGCGTACTATGCTCATGCTGCCCAACCGATCACTCTCGTCATGGTGGTAGCGAGTACGACAAGTACGTTGATTCAACAGCTGATTCGATATCGTCTCTCTAGACAAGCGTCTTGGTAGACGGGTAGCTCGAAACGTAGAGTGGCTGTGCATAGGTACTCTATCGGGTTGAGGTACGTAACCAGATTATCTTGGGTTGTACAGGTCTTGGATAAACGAAACTTCAGGGATATCGTAGACAGTTCACCACGTATGACAAATCGGAAAACAGCTGGGTTATCCTCGATTGGACGGAAAGGAGTGCATAATTCATGTTCGATGACAGCTTGATGTTATCATCGTCTAGTGGCTCAGCTCGAGCATGACGCTCGTAAAATCTTTTATTCACCTAACCTGTCAACGGGAGGTGGTTCGCGTTTCGGTATCAAGGCGGAGCTTTCGTCTATTCTCTAGGTAAACGCGCAAGGATCAAATTGCATTGCCCAGTCAAGTTAAGTTGCTAATCAATTCCCACCAATAATGCGGCGCGGGGTAGCTATCTGCTCGCGCATCAAGAGGTCTTACCCTTGACGCCAGCTAGCAGCTCGGCTGGAGGCTCCTGTCGGTATCCCTTCGGGTTGTTCGACACCCATCTCCATAGATCCTCGCATGCCTTCTCCATACTGAGCTCTGTCTTCCACTGCAGTTCCTGGTTCGCTCGCGTCGGGTTGGCAGTAAGATCTAGCACGTCACCTTGTCTTCGTGGCACTACCTCATATGGCAGGTCGCGACCGACAACCTTGCTGAACGCCTTGATGATCTCGAAAACGGTGCTACCTCTGCCGGAACCCAGGTTCCACGCCTTGACGCCGGGCTTGTGTTCACGAAGATAGTTTAACGCGACTAAATGACCCCTTGCAAGATCGACGACGTGGATGTAGTCGCGGATGGCGGTCCCGTCTCGGGATGGATAGTCTACGTAAGATTCTTATTAGCGTCTTCCATAACATCAAAGTTTTGGGACTAAGCCTGGCTTACCATCTCCGAAGACCAGAATTTTTGGTCGATCACCAGTCGCAACTTTGCCCAGCAACGGCAGCAAGTTATATGGTACGCCTTGAGGATCCTCACCCATAATACCGGTGGGGTGTGCACCGCAAGGGTTGAAGTACCGCAGGTTGGCGCCATTCCATTGTTCAAACGGCTTGTCGGCCTTCTTCAAGTTTTGGCGCTGCGCGCCGATAAAGTCCTCGATCATGTTCTCGACAATGGCCTTAGTTCTTCCGTAAGTGTTTGTAGGCCCAATAGGGCAGTGCTCTGGGATGGGAATCATGTTCTCGAAACGAGTCGCGTCGCCGTAGACCGTTGCCGAAGAGGAAAACACTATGTTGGTAACATCATGCTTCTTCATGGAACCTAAGAGGGAGATGGTACTACCGACGTTTACGCGGTAATACTCAAGAGGGATCTCGGCAGATTCGCCGACAGCCTGGTTCGTAAGTCAGCGGCATGGCATGGGCGATGGAGAATTGGCGAGCTTGCCTTCAGCGCGGCAAAGTGAATGACGCTATCGATTTGGGGATGAGCAGCGAAGACTTTGTCGAGCTCATCTTGCTCCGTAAGGTCAACTTTGTAAAAAATTGGTCTCTTGCCGGAAATAAGCTCGATGCGGTCGAGAGCAACCTCGGACGAATTGTATAGGTTGTCTACAATGATGACCTCGTAACCATGCTCAAGCAAGGCAAGCGTGGTGAAGGATCCAATGTAGCCAGTGCCGCTGCGTGCGCATGTTTATTAGCATAAACGTATACCTTAATTGACGGCTTGCCTTTGTTCTAGGACGTAATAATTATAAAGGGGGGCGCGAAAAAGGCGAATAGGTATAGGTTCAAAATAAACCTCACTTACCCGGTAATCAGAACAGTTCCTACAGCCATCTTTAAAAGTTGAACAGACCAATTGATGGGATGAAAAGGATAGAGGATACGAACCACAATACAAATCGAGGCTTATAGAGGGGCATCTGTTTATAGAGGGGGGGGGAGAGGAGGATGTGCGATAGATATGCGATAGAATCGCGACTTTTGGGGATGCGGCGGTCAACAACAATCTCCATTTTAAAATCGGAACGAAATTGGAGGGGTTACGGTTTGCCCCTCCTTCCGATAGATGTATTTACAGTAGATAAACCCTATTGGGACTGTAGAAGATGCAGTAGCGGGGTTGGAGTTGCACAGTGTGAAGACATTGGAGGACATGGGTTATTAACTATCAGTCAGTTAATAGTCTGTTAGAAGCTGTCACACAAACAGGTCAGATCAACGCCACCTGGGTATTCATTGTATCGCCATCAACATGGATAATTTAACTGGTAATTTACCTAGGTAGGTACCTTGATACCGCATAAGCTTTTTGTAATGACGATGCATCGACGATCTATGAGCTCCTGGATAATTACTAATAATATGAGATACCTACGCTTATTGCCAACAGGTATAAACAGGGGCATATAATCGATTTAATAAGAGATAAGTTCCAAAAATAAATTCTAACGCTATTACATAGGGTTAATGTAAGGGAAATCTAAACCGTTCGTTTGGGTCAAGAATACATACTCCCTAATGTACTTAATTCACCCCACTTGTTCTATATATCTAGCCGGGAATGCTAGGTGATGCCTAATGTTAGCAGCTTACATAAGGTAGGTAATATACAATGGAATACAGCTTGCCAAGATGTCGTGGCTTACGCGTTTAGCGTCTACGTGTGTGGCGCCGTAAGTTATTAAGCCCAACTTTTCGCTCGCCATCGAACTTGTACATTGTTAAATTGTTACCTAAATAGGTAGGGTTCCATATGCGCGGCGCGACGCGACCAGATGACTTCAAGCTTGGAATTCCGATACCCTAATCCCTTCCCTAATTTATTCGCAATCTTGAAATATACGGCCAGTTATGGATTATGTCATCGGCATTTTGACCAATTCGACAAGTCCATTCCAATCGTTTCTTTGACGATTTTGGATGCACCAGTAGAGATACTACAAAGAGCAAAGAAAAGCATTGTGCACCTCGTGCTCAAAGCCGTCTTCGGAAACATCACATCAAGTCTCTTCCTAGCTTAACAACTCCGGCCTGCAACCTTTATGCATCAAGTACTACGCCTACAGAGTGTCGCCGGACCCGGTAGACTCCCGCCCTTGTACGCCGTAGTAGCTCTAGTACCACTTAACAAAGCATAGTACTACTTTTGCGCCCGGACGCTTTCAGCTTCACATCATCGCGCGAGGTCTTAGGTATTAGGCAAGGTGGCTAGGACAACGGGAGAATGACCAGATCTAGATCTATTCATCTACATCTACCTCCATCAAAAAAAGGATTCATCAACATTACATTTTTCCTTCATCTTTTATCGTGATCCCTCCGATCCGCCAACCGTCTCTACGATAGGCTAGTCGCGTATGATCTGTGAAGTGACTTAACCTATATTTTGAATTCTGGGGTAGGGGTGAGCTTGGGTACGTTCTAGCAGCTCATTTTTCTCGCCGTCTCAATTGTTACCTTGTGAGTTGCTATCACTTTTCACACGAAGAGGGCCGAGGCCGAGAATCATGTTATATTTCACAGCGTCTCATTCCGACCCGCCGCCTTGATTCCTTCACACGTAGAGTGTTGCGCATTATTACGAGTCTTTCCTATACTTTGCTAACCTGGTCCTTAGCTTTCCTGCCGGGATCATTCCGGTTTAATCTATCATGTCTGGACGTAACACTCGTGCGAGAAGCCGTGCTACCGGCACAAGCAGCACCCCTAACACCGCGCGCCAAAAATTCTATTCTGAACCGCCACCAGCAGATCTTCCTAGTCTATATCCGGTTCATGATGGATCATATGGCGTCAATACGCATATAAACCTCGACTCTGCAAAGAAGGGTCGAGGTAGAAAGGCCAAACCTGGATTCGTTAACGAGGATGACGAAGATAGGCACTTTACCAGAAGAATGAATAGTAAAGACGGTAAGCGTTATGCTATGGAGAACGACCTCAAAAGAATTGTCGGGGAGACCGTCGAGGAAGCCGAAAAAGATAACGGAGTCGAAGAGGGAACGAACATTGCAGGACAGGAGCTGCGATCAAGCATGGCTCTTGTGGATGATTCCTATCAACCGAATACCCAACCAGACGTCCAGCAGTCCGCTCAAGATGGATCCCAGGCCCAGGCCCAGTCCCAACTTCCGAACGAAGGGGACAGAGCAGACGGCAATCATCAAGACGAAATTGTAAACCAATATAACAAGTACCAATACGATCCAAAGTACGGGTGGAAACCACGCATCCAACGTGTCGACGATTACAAGGGTCCTAGTGTAACTAAGCTGGGCCGGATGTTCACGGCCGAGGGGAAAGACAAGCAGAAACCACCGTATGCTCCTATTCAGTATAGATCCCCCGATCCTGAAATTCTTATCCACAATGCACATCCATCGGTACCGTCTCCATCTGAAGGCTCTTTCTACGGAGTGCCAACAGGACGAGGTGCCCCCTTTCCCTCTACATCATTTGTTGCTCCTGCACGCGCTCCTATACGTCTTGATTCGTCAAGGAGTTTCACTACCGAGAATGTATTATATGGTGACGCAACGCTCACGACACCCTCAAACAGAGACGGCCAGGCACCTGCGCTTGGACTTTCGGTAAACGAAACTAAGCCTATTTCTCGCGGGGGCAACAACTCTACGACCCAGAATACCGGGTATGTAGAGATTCCGAACGAGAACAACTCCGCGGCCGCTGCCTATCCCCCCGCTAACAACGGCGGCCCTACACCTTCGGGGCCTAAAGAAATTCCTAAGGAGCCAGGTTTGACCCCAGCTCAATGGCAGAGAGTAGAAAGCCTCATCCGAGATATGCGAACGTCGCCGCGGCACCTACATTTCGACGCAGCTTCCATCCCTGCTTACACCTTAGACCATCTGACGCCGCGAGAAATCCGGGCGGTAAGGGCCTTAATACAGGATATGGGTAACGATCAGGCGACGACGGCAAAAATCATGGCCGAGTTCGACAGAGTTACCGAGCGTGCCGAGCATGATCAACAAGCAAAAGCGTCGAGGAAAGATTATGTCACCAAATATAAGCATTCGGCTAACTCCGACGCTGTAAACAATATCCATGATGTACCTGCTGCTGATAGTACTCCCGGCGAAGATATCTCCAATGCGGCTGATAACGGCACAGTCGCAAACACCGACGGAAATGTTAATAGTGGTCAAATGTCAGGGGGGGGGGTTCCTCCGGTCCAGGAGATGGAAGATCTGAATCCTCTTGGTAACGAGCTCGATGATGCTGCCGAATATGAAGATGTAGCCGAGGATGATCGTGCTAATCACGGCCATAATCAAAATTTTGCCGATGACGCCGTAGATGATTCATCCAACGACTCGGGTCCGGATTTTTTTCGTCTCAAATCGAATTTAGATCGACCCAGAAGACGTCGCACAGAACGAAATCACGCACGGAAGCGTCGCTCATTGTTTAACTGGGCGGCACTTGGAGGCCCGAATGCATGGGCGAGCACAATTTTCGTATTTCTAACCATTTTATTCTGGGCCTGGCTTCTATTAAGTCTTATTGGCGGAGCTTCTACATCACCACGAGACGATGTCTTTTCTGGCACCGGCGGACGATGGCTTAGTTGGGATAGCATGAAGAACAACCTTGGTAAGATTATACCTGGGAATATAAGAGGGGGTAGAAACAATATTGATCTCGAGTCGGGGGATACCCAAACAAAACTCGTCAATAACCTCACACCAAAAATCCCTGATCAAGTTTTCGTCGAGACGGACGGAAAGGGCAATTTCAAGATATCACAAGATTTCTGGCACGCTCTACGAGATTTAATTAAGGAAGATGATATAATTCTGACTTTGGAAAACGTCAAAAAGGCGGCCCCGGAAATCTCGAACGCGCACTGGCTCGCGATAAAATCACGTTTAAGCAAGGACGGGTTCGGGTTACAACCCGGGTCAAACACTTCCTCGGGAGAGCATGCCGCACCAATTGATAAAGCATCATTCCTGCGGTCCTGGGACCACTGGGTGAGTCAGAACAAGGAAGAATTGAAGAGAATGGTGGGTGGGGTTGCCGTCTCTAGGGAAGAATTCATAAAACTATTCCGAGGCGAAATTAAATCTTACCAGCAAGAAATCCGCAAGGAGCTCGTGGCTCAGGATGCTCGGATCAAAGAGCTCGTGGATACCGTGACCAAACTCCGTAATTCTGCTAAGAATACGCATGGAGGTTTGACCGAAAGGGAAGTCAGAACCATATGCGATGGAGCAATACGGAAAGCTATCGAGAACGCTAAACTCGACGCCTTAGCCAGCGGCCGTATACGCGGCCACGCGAACGATATGCTCATAAACCAGGTCAACTTCTTCGGCATAGGCGCAGGCGCAGTCATCGATCCGCATTCCAGCTCATTAGCCTGGGAACCCCCCGACGACTACTTCAAGCGAAGAGCTAAGTGGATCCGACGTGACGGCTACAGGCCCCAGCCCCCATCGTCTGCTGTAACCTCCTGGAGCGAAGAAGGCGAATGCTTCTGCGCCGGGAGAACCGTCAGGGGGGTACCGCAAATCGCCAACGCGATTGGGGTTATGACAAGCCGCACCGTCATTCCACAGCACCTAGTTGTAGAACATATCCTGCCCGGCTCGACACTGGACCCGGGCGCGATACCCAAGGACATCGAGGTGTGGGCGTATATCGAAGAGGTGACGCTGCGTGACGAGGTACGCGCCTTCTCAGCGAGTCACATGCCCATCCCACTCGCAGTCGAGGTTACCACGGGACCGGAAGGCTTTGTCAAGATCGGCCACTTCACGTACGAACACAGGGACTACGGCGATGGCGTTCAAATCTTTAAGATGAGCAGCGAGCTTGCGCGCATGCGTGCCGCTACCAGCCACATCATCGTCAAGGCGGTAACAAACTACGGCGCGGACCATACGTGCTTCTACCGCCTCAGACTATACGGCGAAGTCGTAGAAGCGACATCGTGGGGGGTAGGCCGTTGAGACCAAGGCGTTTAATACGTGTCTACTTAATTGAGAGTCATCCCGTGGGGGGAAGAGGCGGCAGCACAAGCACGAGATGAGACTGCATAAGCGAAAGCGAACAAGGCGGGCACGCAGACACAATAGACGGGTTGAGTTAGTTCATCCAACCAACGACCCAACAAGAAAGCTTAAGGAGTTTTGGTATCGATTCTTGGTATTTCGCATGAAGGG